ATTCTGATAACTTTGCCCCCCCCCCCCCCCCCCCCCCCCCACATACACACAGAGAAATGTTTATGGAGTATGGATTTCTTACCATTCAAACTGATATATTACTTATTGCTGCAAGGATAACAGAAACCCTTGAAAAGTGGCTTGAATTAATTAAAATGAAGCTGCAATTAAATTAAACTTAAACAGTTCAAATGCAGTTGTATGCAGTAACATTGAATAGCCTGTGCACTGGGCAGTGATGGGGAACAGTGATTTCTTTATTTTTAACATCACAATCCTAACAATACGTCTGTAGCTTACAGGCTGCTCCATTAATATATTTCCATACAAAATGAGACATCAGTTTTTGCTGCAGAAGGACAACTTAAAAGATTGAAACTAGGGCTGAACAATAATGGAAAAATTCACATTGCAATATTTGAACTTACGATACTTATAAAAAATTACCCAAAATAAACTATAGCCAAATTGAACTTGTTATTACCCAAGAGAGTCTGTATTTACTGGGACAGACAAGGCAGTAATTCACAATCTGGGTAACTTTCAAGGAAGTCTACTGGTACACTGAAAATTCACTCTAATTTTATTGTTAACAAATTTCACAGAATCTGAATGATGTTTCTAGTGACAACCATGCCAATCTAAACATACGCATAACATTGACGGCAGCAGTATTACAGTAGCAGATTCTCTTACACTTGCTGCACTGAGTTGTGCCGTCAGACACAAAGCCGATCTGAAAAATCACTTGCTTTTGCTGAAGTTTGTCTCTATGGGCACTGCACTCTGAGTGAGAAAGGACAAAGATGATTATGGTTGGCTTGTATGGCACATGCAGAGCTCCCAAAAAACAGATGTAAACTTAAAAATGAATAAACTGCAACTTATTGGAGAATGGATCACTCTCAAGCATTTACATTGCTGTTAAATAATGTGTAGAATAGCTAATTTATTATTCAATTTTAAGATTTCTTAAATTTCTGCACATTCTCCAATATTCAAATATTTGACAATGTTGACTGGTCTGTACGCTTAGAGTAGCACACATAGTGCAGGATGTACACAACATTCAATCTCTAATTTGCAGCCTTCCTGAAAAAGCTGGAACCTGCATATTCAGTGGACAAGGACAAGAAGATTGTTCTGGAGGTGGAAGTGGTCGACCCGAATGCGCAAGTCAAGTGGCTAAAGAATGGACAGGAGATCAAACCATCAGCCAAGTATGGAGGGATGGATGGTTGAAATGGACCAGTGCAGCCGTGTTTGGTGGCAACAACAGCAGTACTTTACCAGATGGGCACAAATACTGGTGTACAACTGATGTACAAATTATCAACGAGTCATGAACAAACCTAATTGTTATTTGACATAAAAGATGTGTCATGATTCATTAATGCTGAACAAACATGAGATCAGTATTTCACTTGTTATTCATTATGCATGATTTGTTCCTTCAGTAGTTCACAAAGGTTTATAGAATTAACAGATATAGTACTAAATATAGTAACTGCTTGAGGTAGAACATGCTTCATTATTCATTATATATGAATTAACATGACGTCAATATGTAACTAAGACTTAGTTTGTGTTTAGTAAATACATAAGTAATAGTATAATATTACATTATTTGTACCCCATCGGGTAAAGTCATTTAATAATTTTTACTTTTCGCTTGCATGCAGCTGGGTTCTGTATCTTATTTGTTTTGTGACTTTTCTGCTCATCAGATATGTGTTTGAAAGTGTGGGGAACAAAAGAACGCTCATCATCAACAAGTGTACCCTTGCAGACGATGCGGCTTATGAGTGCGTCATTGGGGAGGACAAGTGCTTCACTGAGGTCTTTGTTAAGGGTAATTACGCTAAATCACTGTTTAAAATTCGCTCCTCGGGGACCGACAGTCGGTCCACGTTTTTCTCCCTCTGAGCTCCTTGCCAGGCTGTCCACATTCTCGCTTCCTTCCAGCTCCCTACCGGGGTATGGGCTGTCTGTGTGTCCCTGAGACCCGGGCAGGGAAACATGGCACTAAATGAAAACAACACAGAGCGGTGAAAATGACATATGTAGCTTATCTGTGTTTCCTGATGCTCTTCAAATACTAAGAAAAATGCCCACATCCTGTGCAGTTCCTTACATTTTATTTATGTAGCAGATGGTTTTTATCCAAAGAGAAAGCAGGGTCAGACAATCCCTGGAGCAATTGGGGGTTAAGGGGCTTACTCAGGGCCCAAGGCTGCAATCACTCTGCCAGCCGCGGGATCTGAAGCATAATAACCTGCTGAGCTGCACCCCCATCATTAGACATCCTTAAATTGAAATATGCAAAACACTTTAAAATACTCCTTTGCAAAATCCCATAGCTGAATTGATGGACTGTTCAGAGAAAGCATGAATATAACAATCATTCTTTTACTCCACAGCCATTTTTAAGAAAATATGTCTAAAAAGAAAACAGAAAAGGCTAATACTGTATATATACGTATATGTGTGTGTGTGTGTGTGTGTGTGTGTGTGTATGCATGACTATATTGTACCTTGAGGTTTTGTCAGAACTACATAGAAACACTACAACATAATCATAAGAATGTTAGATTATTTAGCAAATTATGAATCATCAGAAAGCACATTAGTGGAAGGTATGATAGCTGAAATATGCACAGAACATTAGAACTATATTTTTAATTTGAAACCCAGAGTGGGATTCAATCAAGAACACTGTGTACTTCAACTGATAAATGGTTTGAGATTTAGATTCATAATCTAGAGTATTATACAATCACATTTTCATTCACTGGCATGGTTAGACGTGTTCACAATCACTGAGATTCCAAAGAAACAAAGTGTGCACAGACACTTTTGCTAGGAACGCATTTATAGGCAATGCACTGTACTTTAAGAACTTCAGTACATGACAGTAAATTACAAAAGAGCAAAATACCAGTATGGATGTAAATAATCCACACATGAAATACTCATGCAACATGTTTGGTCTTTGACAGCACAGAGTGCTTGTTGACATAAATAGTTTAATATATTAAGAATTTCCCAAATTCCTTCTTCTCGCTGAATCACGTTATAAGTAATGCTTGTTTGACGTTGCTTTCAACTAATGCAAACTGATCTGCTTCTACGAATGACATGCAGATCAGTCACTGACTTTTTGTAACTCTACACCAAGCATAAATAAGAAAACAAGCACAGATTATCATTGTGCACCAAGACCATGAAATAATATGTGCTTCCCACTTACCCAAAGTTGATAAAAAAAAAGAGTTTGTATTAACTTTGGTTTTTCAGAGATAAGTATTTGTCCCAACATTTCATTGTGGATTATGGCTAATTTAAAAAGGTGACTACTATGGTGTGAAATCACTTATTATTAAAAACAACAAGAGTTTATTATAAAACAATGTATTTTTTTCATTTGCACAAGTACATCGGAATGGTTCTTTTCATCCTGTCAAACCAGCAACCTTCTGATTAAAAACCCAGTGAGCCACTGACAATCATTTGCATGCTGACTGTCAGTCTGAATGCTGTGTAAGACTGACATGTGCCTCCGTTGTCAAACCTTGTTCCTAAGAACCTCCTGTGACCATCATCAAGCTACTGGATGATTATCATGTTGTGGTTGGAGAAAGGGTGGAATTTGAGGTGGAGGTGTCAGAAGAAGGTGCCCACGTTAAATGGTCAGTGCAACCAGCTTCACCTGCACACCTCTACTGCTTTACTGTGAAGCTTGATGGTCAACATCTATTAAAATAATGCAGCAGTCCGCAGGACATGGCAGCCAAAAGCACTAAATATGCGTGATGATTATTAAACACATAGATAGCAGCACCTGATATTGACTGTTTCTCAGTTGACTTTTTCTAATTCTCTTCATCCCAGGACAAAGGAAGACGAGGAATTATCAAGAGATAATACTCAAAAATATCGCTTCAAGAAAGATGGGAAGAAGCACTGGTTAATCATTAATGAGGCAACACTGGAAGATGCAGGAATGTATCACGTCTACACCAATGGTGGACATTCCAAGGGAGAACTGGAAGTGGAAGGTATTGTTTCAGTGGCCAAGATTTAATCTCCATCCCATGTTTCTTTTCATCATTATGTTCTCTCCTTTCCTGTGATGCTACCTCATCTTCAGGTTACTGTAGATATGAAATGAAAGTAATACAAAATATTTCAAACTTAGTTACTGCTTTATGTGGTGGTCTGCTACTTCAAAGGAACCTGACTTACTTCTGATTGAAGACAGGAAACAGTGAGACATGAATTTACTTGATAAAAAGTAGGATACTTTAAAAATGCAGAGGTGTTTAATATTTTAAGAGGATTAAATATACCTTGATATGGCTTGGAAGTGAAAAAATAAAACACTGCCACATTTTGTATGTTAACGTCAAGATATCCCTGCATTTCAGATAATTAATTAAATTTAGAGATTGTGAAATAATTTATAGATTTATTGATATCTGTAAAGTACACTATACAGTATATCCAAAAGGCATACCTTTAAATGCCAATTTAGGTTTTGAGGCAGAAATTATACTTGGTCATATTGTGTTGATCCTTGAGAATGCAAGAATGAGATATAAATACATTTTAATGCAGGCCGGGTACTACCAAGCATACAGGAAGCAAATGAATGTTAAACCAAACATCAGTGAAGGCTATGGCAGTCATAGCTAGTGAGGCGTGTCACTGTCGCTCCTTCTGTGCCACTTATTAGATGAAAATTACCATGTGCCAATCCAAAACTCCTATGTGAGATGATCATGACACAATGTGACAGTTACTCATTAATCATTGTCAATAATAATCCTTGAAATAAACAATGCTTATTATGATTTGTTACATTAAGTGTTTCCTTCTTTTGAATGCTACCACGAAGTTTGTTGAGTATTTTAAATACTGTACAGTATTTAAAGTCTCTATAGCATGGGTTCTCAAAGTCCAGACCATAGTCCGAATGCAGCCTGAACCGCAAGTTAATCTGGACCCAGCCAAAAATGCACCTTAATATTGTTAACATAAAAATCTCACCCCATTTGCAGAGAGTTGAAACAATCAACGAGCCTCAAAAAAGTTCCCATTTTTACTATTTGTTGATATCTATATTGAAGGCTATTGTTAATTCATTATAGTTCTGTTTTGTTATTGAAAATTGTTCTGGGTCACTGACTTTGAGCAAAAATCTGATGCGCACTTTTGAGCAAACATTTTGAGAACAGCTGCTCTGCATTGTTTCCCTTAGTGTAGTTCCAAATACTCCTCAGGGTACCACTAGGTCTACAGCTATCTGCCACTTATCTCAAGTTTGCAAATATATTGCCTGTAATGCTTGCATTTTGGGGGTTAGTTTGAATTGCAGCCTCATGGTCCCTCTTTCCCAATCCCCTAGAAAAAGAGCTGGAGGTGCTGCAGAACATCGCAGACCTGACAGTGAGGTCGGCAGAGCAGGCCATCTTCAAGTGTGAGGTGTCCGATGAGAAGGTGACGGGAAAGTGGTTTAAGGATGGAGTGGAGGTCCAAGCCAGCGACCGCATCAAAATGACACACATTGGAACGTAAGTACCTGCACCGAAGACGCCACAATCTGTCTGAATGACACACATTGGAACGTAAGTACCTGCACCGAAGACGCCACACACTGTCTGAATGATCACAGCTCTGTCACACTATCTTATTTATTTAAATGTATTTATTTAAAACTATACAAGATAGGACAGCGATTTTTGCAGTACAAACTAGCACAAACGCAGCACTAATGAACAAGCCCGGTTTCAGGTCTGAACGCCTTTGTATGGGGGCTGGCTGAACTTTTGACCTTTACAAAAAACCTTTAATATCTCATAAAGTAAAAGAGATAGAACATTGATTTGTGCAGCACATATGAGCAGTTTGTTAGTGCTGCATTAGTGCTCATTTATGCCTCAAAAATCACTGTCCTATCTTTATAGTTTTAAATAAATTCACTTAAAATATATACTTTAATAAACTAAAAGTGGGGCAATTTAGTCCCAAGAAGTATACTTAATAAAATTAAATTTAAGTATACTTTTTTTGGTAAGGGATATTCAATATCTAATGTCTGTAACACCTGATGTTTTGTCTCTGTTTTGTGTCTCAAACTTATGTCCCTTTTTACCCATATTCTAAAGCTAGGCAATGCATTTCACTGCACATTGTACTAAATGTAATTGTGTATGTGACAAATAAAGCTTTGAAATTTTGAATAATGATGTTATTGGGATGACTTGATATCTTTTTTTCTCCAAATTCTGTCCTCTAAGTTTAAGAGATTATAAAGATATGAATACAAATGTGTGTGTGTTTTAACTTATAACTCTACTCTTGTCTTTTTTTCAGAATCCACAAGCTGACCATCGATAATGTAAAGGCAGAGGATGCTGGCGATTATACTTTTGTCCCCGATGGCTATGCCCTCTCCCTCTCTGCCAAGCTCAATTTCCTTGGTGAGTGAGCTGCAGAAACTAAGAAGTATTTTGATTTAAAACTGCTACACTAATTATCATCATAAACAGGTTGTACAGTAGTAAGCTTAAATTAATACTGTAATAAAGAAGATTCAGTATCCATCTATCCATAACTGGTTTCCCATCATAGTGCGTTCTTGACATGCTAAACATAAAGTATTATTTTCAGTTCATATTTAAATCACTTCATATATCAGTCATATTATACATGAAAAAAGCAACTAAATATAAAAACAAACAAAATGCAAGCTATGAATTTTGTGTTTCTCTTTGTTCAGAAATCAAGATTGACTACGTACCCCGTCAAGGTCAGTGTTGCTAAATATCCTCGACAGGCATGCTGTATATAGTCAGTGGTCACCTCATTAGGAACTGCTTTTTACCCAGAACTCTTTGAAGGGTAGATGAATTGTGCATTCAGAAAGCCCTCTCTTCACACCGCCCTTGTTTGTCATTTTTGTTAACGAGCTTGGCCATTCTCCTCTGATCTTTCTCATTAACAAAGTGCTTCCGGCCACAGAAATGCCATTGACTGGGTGTTTTCCATTCGGCGTATGATTCTCTGTGAGCTCTGCACACTGCAGCGTGTTGACATTCACAGGGAGCTGCCTCTTCTGGAGATGCCTGAGCCAGCCGATCTGCTGCCCATGAAAACACCGTATTCAGAATCACTTATGCATGGCACCTTAGTCATTCTTATTCCAAACAGCAGCTGAACCTTTTGCCCCTGTCTGTGTGCTGCATGTATTCGGGTGCAGACATATGATTTGTTCTTTGGAAGAGCAGGCAGTTTGTGTTAATTAGCAGGTGAACCAAATAACCTGGCCCTGTGTGTTTGTGTGTGTGTGTATGTGTGTGGATTAAGTTTATATTACATTGTGGGGACAAAATCTCCCCCACAATGTACTGTAGTAAAAACCTATTTTTTTACAAACCTATTTTTTTACATTGTGGGGACCAGTTTTCTCATATTTTTTTTGGTTACTTGTGGTTAAGGTTAGGGCTGTGTGTGGTCCAGATATACCTTACCTTTTGGGGACCAAATGTCCCTACAGTGTGATGAATACTCATTTTTTTACCTTATGGGAACCAGTTTCCTGGTCCCCATATCCTCCTGAGACCCAAGGAAAAAAGTGGCCTTCAGTTTTAGGTTAATTGTGATTTTCTATGTCTTTGGAGGAAATAAGACATCTTTTTTCAAATTTATTTTTATTTTTAATCTCACAGCATGTCCTCTTTAGTGTACAACAGGAATAAATACGTTTCCTTACATCAGTGAAAAGATAGATGCAAAAACAAAATGTCCACTGCAATGGACATAAATGAATGGGTGGGGATATGGGAAAACTCTATTTGATAAAAATCTGTGACTGCAATGAAAAAACTAAAAATGTAAAAACCTCTTGTATTTTCTTTGGTTACTTATGATTTTGGTTAGGGCTGGGTAGGGCTTACGGTTGTCATAGTTAGCATTAGCATTTCTCCCATAAAAAAGAATGAACAGTCCCCAAAAATATATGATTACACAAGTGTGTGTGTCTATGTGTGTGTGTGTGTGTGTGCATGTATAAAATATGAATATTGTTATATTCACTCTCTCCCCTCTTTTTGCTCAGACCCTCCAAAAATCCACCTGGATACCACTGGGAACGTAGTTTCTCAAAACACCATTATTGTTGTGGCTGGTAACAAGCTTCGCCTGGATGTGGAAATAACTGGGGAACCTGCTCCCACGGTCTGCTGGATGAAAGGAGACAATGTGAGGAAGGAACTGCAATAACGATCAATGTCAATCTGTACAGTGAAAAGCTGGCTTTACTATCCATACTATGGAAGTAGCCATTGACCGAAAGAGACACATGATCAGCAACAGTATGTGATAAGTGCACCGATGTGTTCGGTACATTGAATTTATGATTTGGTGTAATGGTGTCTTAGCCTATCACAGCAACTGAAGGAAGGGTAAGAGTGGAGAGCAGGACAAACCTCAGCAGCTTCGTGATAGAGGGAGCTGAGAGGGAAGATGCGGGAACCTACACCATCACTGTCACCAACCCAGCTGGAGAGGACAAAGCCTCACTCAACATCCGCATTGTGGGTCTGTATCAGGTCTCTAAACCAGTATTTCTCACCCTGGTCTTTGGGGGACCCACAGACGGTCTACATCTTTGATCCCTCCAAGCTCCCTGCCAGACAGTCCAAATTTTTTGCTTCTTGGGAGGGAGCAAAAATATGGACTGTCTAGGGGTTCCCGGAGGACCGGATTGGGAAACACTGTTCTAAACCCCTTGCTGAAGTTGTCTGTCATTAGAAGACCTTTCAAAACGTAAACTGCCACCCCTTTTCAATGTGCTGTGCCCCCGGCTGTGCCTGTTTTACACACATCAGTGCCTAATGTTGTGACACCGTTCCCACCTCCAGATGTGCCGGACCCCCCAGAAGGTGTGAAGTGTTTATCAGTAGGAGAGGACTGTGCCACTGTTACCTGGGAGCCACCCAAATTTGATGGAGGCGTCCCCATTAAAGGTAAAAGTTATTTCCTTCAGCATTGCACTTAGCTGGTAGACTGTGACTAAGGCAACATTCTGTGTATTGTTAAATTCTACACACATCATTGCTTGGGTGAAAGAAATTTTGACAAAGATGGCAATTATTAATTTACATAAGAAAACAAAGAAATTTTCCACACTCTCCTCTCAGATTAAGACATAAACAATATACATTTTTTTAACTTGCATATGTCAATATAGTCTATTCCCTTCATTAAAAGCACTAAGGTTTTGTGTATCGCATATGGCGATATTGGCAGAGTTATAAAGAAAGTGTCATGATTGATGTTAATGCCTAATAAAAACCACATTAAACTGCGCAGCCTTTCCTGCAGCAATCCACATCAGCTAATTTGAGCAGCAGGGCTCCTATATTTAAAGACATAATTTCTAGTCATTGCCAATAAATCACACTTCTATTAAGTATGTGTATTTTATGAGAGTCTTCCATCACATATCCTCCATCAGTCATGAGGAATCCAATGAACTCCAGCAGGCTCATACAAGTTTAAAGCCAGTCATATATGTATATACATATATACATATATATACAGTATATATATATATATATACACACACACACATATATATATATATATAGTTACCAGCAAAAAGCCAGAGTAACATGGCTGAGGTCAGCACTCTTATCAGACCTCTGCTCATGGGACCACAATCTCAGAGGAGTTATAGGGGAATGAATGCCAGTCACGCTAACTGAAGTAGTCTCTCTGCATCATGTGCTTTTCATCTGTCTTTGTGTCATGTTTGCATTTTTGTTAAGGCTATTTGATGGAGAGGAAGAAGAAAGGGTCGTCAAGATGGACAAAGCTGAATTTCGACATCTACACATCTACTACATTTGAGGCCAAGAGGATGATTGAGGGAGTGCTGTATGAAATGAGAGTGTTTGCTATCAATGAGATCGGCATGTCTCCACCAAGTCTCAACTCCAAGCCCTTCATGCCCATCGGTACGGGGGTCCCTCTGCCATTCCTCCATGTTCATCTATGCCAGTTACGTAGAAACTCAGGTGATCATTGGATTTCAGTTTCATATGAGGTGCCAGCTTCTCTTTCCCTACCTCAGCTCCCACCAGTGAGCCCACTCGCCTTTTAGTGGACGATGTTGCAGACAGTACCTGCACTTTGAAGTGGCTTCCTCCAGAGAGAATTGGAGCAGGCGGTCTTGACGGATACATCATCGAGTACTGCAAGGAAGGAGGTAAGGAGGACAGCTGTCATGGGATTGGACAAGCTGGTTGATTCATTTATTACAAAGGCAAATCAATGATTAGTTTCCATGCATGTGATTTGTTCATCTTCAAGCACATTGCTTGGTGCTAGGACGCACAGTTGTGAGTAATAAATATAGACAGGCAAATATCCATTCATCTTCCATAACTGCTTATGCAGAACAGAATCACAATGAGCCCAGAGCCATCGCACGAAGCACAAAACAGGGGACAGTAAAATATAAATTGATAAAATTCATGGTGCGTGTAACTGAGTGTTTAAAGTACGAGAGCCATAGGAACATCATTTTTATCTCCACTAGAGGAATTCAAAAGTTAAATATGTGAATATCAGTTTTTTTTGTACTAGTTAATAGTTGTTAAGGTCAAGTAGCCATGAAAACCAACATTTCCTTCTCCTTTGCATGCAGATGTGTTCCTAACTTTCAGTGATGGGTTTAATCACATCCTCCATGTTTGATCTGTCTTCTAGCTCTGTTAATGGTGTGCACTTTGCAAATGAATAAATCTCTTTGAACAAATCTGAACCGAATGCTAAACAAGAAGTCTGCAAGATACGTTCTTCATACTAAGCAAACATCTGCAGACAGCATCAGAGGTTCTATTAGCTTCCATGGATAGCTAATAATCAGCACTTTGTTTTGGCAATCGCTGTCATGAGTAAATATGCCATTTGCAGCACTGAACAGACTGGCCAGGACTTACAACAAGACGCAAGGTGATACATTGGGCAGGACTGAACAAACTCATCCTATTTAAATGAAGACAGTTTGCATCAGTAAACTGAGAAACTGAAACTGAGATTCTGGGTGCTGGTTTCTTTGGTGGAATGGTGAAAGATTCCACTTTGTATGATTCATAGCACGTTGTTTACAGTCTGGGAAGGAAACTCCAGTCATCCAGTTTCTCTCCTAGTTTATTATCACTTAGTGGAATATTTAAAGAATTATTTACATTATGTATATGTATACACAGATGCAGGTGAGGTCAAATACGCCATTTTTCAAAGGCAAGTCAGGCCAATGCAATAACCAGTATCCAGCATCAACACCAATCACAAACACTGGCTAAGAGGGGAGATAGAGGAGATCGGCAGAAAATGGTGCTTTCCTCCTGGCAGTGAGCTCACAATACATAAAACCAAGCACCCCGATACAGTATAGAATACATTAGCACAGACCACCCTACTACACATTATTATGCACAATGAGGGAGGGCACTAGCGCAGAAGGTAACCACCCATTAATGCACCTCCTGTGGACAGTACACAGTCCCCTCAAACACAGCACTGCTCAAAATCTTGGGAGAAGGGAAGACAGATAGAGAGAGAGAGAACAAACCAGCCAATACCACAAAACAGAGAAACAAGTATGACTGCAAACAACGTTAACTTTTCAATCCCAAGTGCCTGATGAGAGCCTGACTTGTTCAGTGAAAATATGCAGTTCTTTTGACCATTAGTTTACGCACATCATCACTGGCAAGGGACACATTTAAATAATCGCTGATAATAAATTTTACAATTATTCAGTTTAAAGAACTGTTCAGATTTGTATTAAATCAACATTCAGCTTGTACTATACTAGAAAATACTGTATGTATTTTATGGCTGCATGGTGTAGAATGAGACACTTCCTGCTGTTTTGAGCTATGTGACATTTCCAGGTTTTCATTTGAAAGTGAAACATTTCCAGTTCTATTCCATATTCAAACATGTACCATTTATAAAAAATATTCTACCATTCCTGTGATATTGCCATACCTTTTTATAGATTTCTTTTGATATTTAATGCATTTCGTCGCCATTTGGAAGCATTCATAATATGAGCTAGTTTTACTATTTGTGTTCCCAGTGCGTGTTGTTTCAGAAAACACATTTATTATGGTAAGTGGCTGGCAGGTTTGAAAAATCACGGCAATAACTGTGCTCTGAATGAAATGTGAGTCCAAAATGCAGCAAAATGAAGTATTTTTACCCTGGTCATTATAGCCATTCCACAGAATTTCTCAAGAAAAGAAACTGATTTATAATGCCCCCATACCTAGTGTGCGACAAATTGATTGTTGCTATATATATGGAACAGGATTAGTATGTAATTCAGGATTCAGGTCCCAATATGTTCCGAGTGTATTGTAACATATTGTACTATGGACATATTGTAGTTGATACTGTCATGTTGATCCTTGAGAATGCAAGTGAGCTCGATGGGCCGAATGGCCTCCTCTCATTTGTATAGTTCTTATGTTCTTATGTTCTTATGTTAGTTCAAATATTGAGACTTTATGGTTAAAAACCAATGTGGCCCAAAGACATATAATGTAAGATGAACAGATGGATGAAATGTCAAAAATGGCAAGAAATCTTTGTGTTTTTGAGATTTACTGTGAGTTTATATTGAGCTCTAGGAAATAAGATTATTCAGCATTAACGCATGAATACAGTCCCCTCCAGTGTTTACTATGGTATGATCAACCAAAGGTGCATTTGTGTCATGAAGGTGCTGCTCTAGTACAGATATGGCTGTTTTCAAACTGTACGGTCTGTTACTTTCACAGGTGACTCTCAGTTCTCTATTCCATGCCTTTATTCAGCAGTTGCTACTGTATCCTCTGTTTCCATGGTGTCAAATCACCTGTCTCATGTCTGCCCGCCTGGTCTCTTAGAAACAGAGTGGGTGCGAGCCAATAAGGACCTAGTGGTGAAGAACAGCTACACAGTGCGGGACCTGACAACAGGAGAAAGGATGAACTTCAGGGTGGTGGCTGTTAACATGGCAGGCCAGAGCCCACCTGCACTGCTCGATCAGCCTGTCACCATCCGAGAGATTATGGGTGAATTTTTTCAGGCACATAATTTTGTGTATTACAGTATTGTTTGCTCACATTGTGTCATGGGTGGCAGTGGTGGTGACTCTGCTGATGAGGCCTCTGTGACTTTGATTGTAAAGTTGCAGGTTCGAGCCCTGGCAGTATAGTCATCTCCTTCAGACCCTTACCCCCCCCCCCCCCCACTAAAATGACCCAGGGACACGTGGCCTGACCCTGTGGTTGGAGTGTCGCTCTCACCTGTATTTGTGCGTGTGTGTTTGTCTCAAAACTTTAGCTACTTGCATCCTAATAAGCACATAATAAGCATTCTAATGTACTTGCAAATGACAAATAAAGCTTAATCTCATTAAAAATGTAAATCATCAGGTATCATTCTCTGTCGCAGAGCATCCCAGGATCCGGCTCCCACGTCAGCTGAGAACCAAGTACATTCGTAAAGTGGGTGAAACTATCAACCTAGTGATTCCCTTCCAGGTCAGTGGCTTCACTGGTGAGTAATAATAGAGACCGGCCAGTGCAGCCTTTCAGACGGTCACTGCCTCTGTGCTGTGCTCTGTGTTCCCATTCCAGGGGAAGCCTCGCCCAGTGGCAGTATGGACTAAAGATGGTCAACCCATAGATGTGAAGAAGGTCAGCGTCCGCAATTCCTTTGTTGACTCTATCCTCTTCATCCGCGCCGCTGAGCGGGATCACACGGGGAGATACACGCTCTGCCTGCAGATTGAGAACATGCAGGACTCGGCCAGTATTGACATACAGATAGTAGGTTAGTGTCTCTGCGAACACGAGCTCATAGGACGTCCCTGCATTTGCGAATGCCTGAACGGTTAATGGGGGAAGCAAAGACACAGCAGAGGTATGGACTCGTCGTGACGCTGTGAGTCTAAGCAGTAACTCATACGCTGTGCTCACCATTACCCCTCAGACAAGCCTGGTCCACCCATTGCAGTGAAGATCTTGGATGTTTGGGGCTTTAACGCTGCACTGGAATGGCAGCCCCCCAAAGATAATGGCAACTGTGAGATCACTGGCTACACGATACAGAAAGCTGACAAAAAGACTATGGTGAGATCTCAGCATTGTTATAATATAATATAATATGTTATAATATATTGTTATAGTAGGGGGGGGGCACCTATGTTCAGGTAACTTTCAGAGCAGCATTTAGAATGCAGTGATGAAAAATCATGACAAAAATTACCTACAAAGGTAAATTATAAGTAAGTAAGTTGTAATGCAAACCAATAAAATTCCTTAATAAAAACCTGAATTATATCCATGTTTTTAAAGCAAAAATGTGATTTTTAGGTGACGCAAAAAACTTTAGATACACTATGGGCAGTTTTATATCTACATAATACATAAAAGTGTATGGTGAGTTGAGCAGGCTTCTACAATTAAGAAAAAAAGGATGAAAGAAGATGAGTTTTTCAGAAGCAGACAGACACGTGGATGTGACTTTATTCCATCCCATGGCCCCTTGTGCCCCCCCCCCCCCACCTCGTTCAGATTGGGGGGGCATGGGAGGGAATAAAGTCACATCCACGTGTCTGTTTGCTTCTGAAAAACTCATCTTCTTTCATCCTTTTTTTCTTAATTGTAGAAGCCTGCTACTGCTAACAGTTTCCTGATAATGAAAAGAGAATGTGACCATAATGAAGCTAATTCGGAGACATAAATTAAATAAAGAGTAATAAAACATTGATGGGTATTCCGTATGTGAGTGCATAAGGGACGTGTCAGGTGACCTTAAGCCTGGAAGTATGTCGTTCACTTCGTTTTAATTCCCTCATCTCCAGGAGTGGTTCACCGTCTATGAGCATAACCGACGCCCCAACTGCACCGTGTCTGACCTCGTCATGGGAAATGAGTACATGTTCCGTGTCTTTAGCGAGAACCTCTGTGGACTTAGCGAATCAGCCGGAATAAGCAAGGGCACTGCCATCATTGCTAAGACAGGTACGCAGCTGATTTATATGCAAGTATTGTTTTGGGTAATATTTTTAAGGAACCATCGCACTGATTTGCAGTTGACCATCCTGGCTTCTTTTTTAGGTTTGGAATATAACCCAGTCTCCTTCAAGGAAAAAGACATGAACTGCTCGCCTAAGTTTACACAGCCCCTTATGGATCGATCCGTCATTGCAGGCTACAGCACTGCCATCAGCTGCTCTGTGCGTGGATACCCCAAGGTAGGAATCGCCTGCAGTGCATCTGTTCGCTTTTATTTATTAAACAAATCTGTCTCCAGCGCATTACTGATATTACAAGTCTTTTAACTTACATTTAATTGCTTAGCAGATGCTTCAGTCCAAAGTGTCAGTCTGCTATGGCATATAATTTGCAACCTTCCAATTTCAGGCATAAAGTCTTAACCAGTAGTGGCCTTTATACTAACCTGAGTTAGTGGCTTCACAATCACGTAAAATTCTCCGGTTGAATAGTACTGAATTAACTTTATCAACTATAGTGGGCAGGGTCAACTATACCGTAAATCACTGAATGGCCTAAACCATTTGGAATTGGCATAAATTAATGTGGCCCACTGTGGATTTTTCAGTTTGAGGGAATCATTTACATGTGTCTTGGAGTAATAGATGCTAATTCCTGAATTCTGTCAAAAACACACCAGACTAACATATTAAATAACCTGTATTTATTTAATTCTTCATGAAAACTAAAAACCCATGACGCAGGGGACTAGAGTTAATGTTCCGGCTTGGCCACTGGCTCACTCTAAACCGCAAAGCACTGAATAAAACAGATGTTGCATCCGCAATCTTTATCCTCTCCCAGCCTAAGATCATGTGGATGAAGAATAACATGATCATTGGAGAAGACCCCAAATATATCATGCAGAACAACCAGGGCGTGCTGACCCTCAACATCAGGAAGCCGAGCACATTCGATGGGGGGAGGTACAGCTGCAGGGCTATCAATGAGCTCGGCCAGGATGAGGTGGAGTGCAAGCTGGAGATCCGAGGTACCGCCGTGACCTTCATGATGGGATTGTTATTTAAATGTTCTATCTTAATATGTACTATGCACACATTAATATAAAATACAGTATGACTTTTTACTCATAAATAAGCAGTCATTCGTATCAGCATAATATTCCTTGGTCTTCTAAATGGAAGTACTGTTGACTGTTTCTATGGTAACTTAATAGACTTGCCGCTTCCAGTGAGTAGCCTGACCAGATGTTCGACCCATTAGGGGTTGCACTGACTAGTTGACAAGTCAACTTTACTGCTCTGCGATGCCACTTTAAACTTGATGTCAACTAGTCTCTGATCATGTGATTACGACACTAACAACATGGATTCCTCAGAGAATACCAGTTACAGTATGTGGACGTGTGGGGAAAAGAGCAAAAACTGAGCAGATGGAATTATTTTTGTACCTTATTTACATTTAATACATTAATGAACACCCTTTTTGCTTTCATCTCCATATTTTTGCTTCAGAAACTTCAATCAATAAGCGATATACTTCTGCCCCATATTGCTGGTGCGGCAGTGGAACTTCCCAGCGCTTATCAGTGGAATATTGTTACACTGAGCACATTGAACATAATTTAAATGCTAACTTTGATCATTTCATTCTGAAAATTAACTGACTGGTTTATTCTATTGTATTTTCTGTTTGTTACCCATGCTATAAGCAAGATAATCCACTGGGAAGGTGTGCGGTTATACGAAAATAATCAACTTGGTTAGCATTATGGCAAGTTGTCTTTGATTATTTTCATATAACCACAGACCTCATCATGGTTTATCCCTTAAATAAGCAACTTTTATTTGTTTCTTAGCCTTTCGGCTTTGACTTGCTGCTCGGCCTAAATTGATACGTAAAGGCTTAATAAAATTTATAAAAGGAAAATCTGCATATGAAACATCTTGATACACAGTTAGCACAGTAAGAGTGAGCCTCAGTATGACTAAATACACAAGTTACAAAACTGATACAGAATAATATTTTTTGACATTAATTTATCAGTTGTTATGGTTGCCGTGATATTTGATGTTTTATAGTACAGCTGCATGAAAACCAGGTCTAATGAGCAAACAAATTCTGCTAAATCAGATGTTGCAATATTAAATAAGTATTTATTTTTCTCTTTTATCTCCAGCTATCCCCATAGAGAAAAAGTGAAAGAAAATACGAAAGATAAACCCGGAGAAAAAGATGAAGGAAACACAAGGCGGACTTCACTTTAAATGCTAATTTACAACACGAAAAATAAATAATTAAATAAATTGTTATTCAAATCTTAACTTTTTGTGTTTGTATTATTTTCAGTAAGCTCTTTTAATCCCTTGCTACCAGAGTACACATGCAGGCAAATAGATTAAAAAGTTAGCACCATTAGGAATAAAACATTTCCACAATAAGAAATCCATCCATTTCCCCTAAATATTTATCCAGCAGAGGGTCACGGTGAGCTTGGAGCCCTTCCCAGGCATCACAGGGCCAGGCTTGTCCTGGATGCCAATCCACACACTATGGGCAATTTAGAGGTGTCTCTTTGCCAGAACACCCCTGTATTTAAGCTGTGGGAGTTAACCATGGTATCTGGTCCACATGACTATGGGGTGAACATGGAGGATCTGCATGCTCAGAGCCAGCGTGGGAGTCAAACCCACAGACCAAGATCAAAGTCAAATCAATGAAATACATCAAGTGACCATTTCCTTTAATTGGTTATATCAAATTGATTGTTCTCCCATCCTTAAAGACCGATATTCAGATTGTCATCCAAAAATATTTCAGCTAGCAGTGGATTCAAGACTTTATTGTTATAATCACAATAAACAGTCAGTTACACCGTACAATACTATACTAGGGCTGGGCTATTTCAATTTCTAATCCTATATCTCATGCATTTTTACATATGACATGTCGTGATAATGTATCGTTATATAGACTTTATTTATTGTAAATGAATGTAGACAATTTCGCTCTAAAATGGCAGGACGAACAGATCGGGCACTGCCAGAAAATGTAATGTGGTATGTGCATGATGGCATGTGCAGATGCGCATGGCACAAATCAGGCAGGTGGCACAGATCGGGTAGTGACAGACACCCCCACAAAGCCCCACCCAGCCACCCATATCATGGTCAAAAAGAGGCCAGATAGTGAAACACAAGGGAAAATACAGCGCAAAGAGAAAAAAAAGTATTGCAAAATGCAACATGCACACCGTATGGAATAAAAAGTAAAATGTAAAGAAAAAATAACTATTACAAAATTTGGCAAAGAAAATACATCAGTTTTGTTTGTAATACATATGTGATTTTGTTTACAGTACACATGCTTCTTTGCAGTGCTGTCTGTAATTTGGTTCCATACATTTAATGTTTGAACAGCAATAACAACAAATACTTTTTACATTTCAGGCAGTTTTTAATTCTTTTTTGGTTCATGTGAAACAGTTCAGCAGAGGAACAAATCAGAACTGAAAAAATGATGTTATGTCTTATTTTGAATATAAGCACTTAACTTAATTGTTAAATACTTGAAATACACTCAGTGACAAAAAAAGTTAAGCACCCAGACAGAGTGGTGGAAATATACTGAATCTGCACATGGTGAAAGGTCATGTGACTGTATCGCAATGATTATAATATCAGATGAAGTGGACAACAGAGTTGGTAGTACGAGCACACTGATGGTCCCATGTCAGTAGGGTGTGGCACCCACCCTAACCCCCCCGGCCTGCATATATGCGGCAATATGGTGCGGAAGGGAGTTGTACAGCCCTTCTATCCTCTTCTGCGGCAAGTTGGCTCACAGCTGTTTTAACTGGCCCTCGAGATCCTGCAGATTGGCACTGGGTCTGAGTCAACATCCAAGTTGACGTCCGAGTTGATGACACATGTTCGATTGGGGAAAGATCGGGGGACCTGGCTGGCCACAGGAGGACCTCAACACGACGCACGCAGCCCATAGACATGTGTGGACGGGCGTTGTCTTATTGAAAGACTGCACCAGGGTGCTGTCTCAGGAGGGGTAAGACATGTGGACGCAGGATGTCACTGACGTAGCGCTGTGCCGTCAGGGTCCCCGGAATCACTACCAGAGATGACCTGAAGTCATACCCTATGGCTCCCCACACCATGATTCTAGGAGTAACGCCAGTGTGTCTCTCCACAACATTGTTAGGATTGGTCCTCTCTCCTCAGGCGCCGCCATACCCATACAAGGGTCATCCATAGCAATGCAGAGCCGAGATTCATCGCTGATCATGGTGCGATGCCACTTGTCATCAGTCCATGCCTCCCAGTTACAGCACCACTCCAAACGCAGCTGTCTCTGTGTGGTGTTAACAGCAGCCTATGCATGGGACGGTGAACTGATAGTCTGGCTCATGCCAGTCATCAAGACACAGTGTGGGATGATATGGGGTGTTGTAGAGAGTCCAATACCTGTGTCCGGATGGCAGGCGCAGATGTCATGGGGTTCTGTAATGCTTGGCGCACAATATCCACATTCCTCCCTTGATGTGGTCTGTCTTGGGTGACCATAACCTTCACGATGTATGTGGGTGCCCTCACATGTTCATTGGTTCCAACATCAGCCGACTGTGACATCTGCATGCCCCACATGCCGGGCAATTGCACGTTACGACCACCCGGCCTCACGCAAACCCACAATGTGACCCCTTTCAAACTCCGTCAAGTGCTGGTAATGCTGTCTAATGCGTCTATGAGGCGTCCTCTGTGTCTGGTGACTAGACCTGTTAGCTCCTTGCAAATCGAATCATTTACATAGCCATTGCTGGTCTGCACGTGTACCAAATTACATCCAAATCGGACCATTACTTCTGGGCGCTCCACTTTTTTTGTCACTGAGTGAATTTGCGTACATTATAGGCACCTTGGGTATTTAGACAATTAGATTTTTTTCTAAGAATTAAGAGTTTTTTTCTTATGTGATATTGTTTTGTACTTCTTATGTTTTTTAGTTGGGAAACATTGCTGTGAATAAATAAAACCATAATTCATTCTGACTTTCTGTCCTGACTTTTAAAAAGTATTTTAGAGATATTTTAATAATATCGATACATATCGAATATTGATACGGTGACCTAATTTTGGCCATATTGCCCAGCCCTACACTATACTATACACTATATACTATATCTTCAGCTGGTATAAATAACTGAATCAAGTGTTTAAGTATCAAAGTGACACAGAAGGCAGTGCTATGGAGGGTGAGAAGTAAATATGAGTCTGGACTGTAGGAGCAATAAAAATGTTGTTACTTATTTCCAGAAAATATAATCACTGCAAAGGTTTTTTCTGACTTAAATTCCTGTTTAAGCAAATAAGTCAGGTTAAACAAGCAGCAACCATTAACATCTTATTTTTTTCACATGAGGTCAGATTGGTTAATAGCAATAAAATAGACTGAGGCAGTGTTTCCTAATCCAGTCCTGGGGGCCCCACAGACCACGTTTTTCCTCCCTCCCAGCTCCCTGCCATACAGTCCACATTTTTGCTGGTCCCCGAGAACCAGATTGAGAAACACTGGTCTAAATAAATCACATATACCTATGTATTAGTGATATAAGCAACCATGTATCACAAAGTAGAACCCACTGATTCCCAATGCCTGGACAGGGATCAAGCCCATGGTACAACCTGATGGACATTTTGATCAAAATGCAATTTTTACTACACATGTGGTATTTTAAAAAGTAGCGGGCATCATTTTCTTTCCTCAATCGGAACATCTTGCCATGAACACAAGGGCAGGTTGACCATCGCTGAGCATGTACCTTTCTTTTTGTCTTGTGTAACACGTTCATTAAAATGAAGTCTCATAAGCACCATTTGTCTAAAACGTTCTCTTAACAATAAGGTTTTTGTTGCTAAATGTGTAGCAAACAGTTTTCTTATGTAAGCAAGATATATATATATATATATATATATATATATGGATAAAGGGGTGCAAAATCAAGTCACACCTCAATGTTAAATTTCTGATTATAAGTAGTACAGAAGACTCTACATTCACAGTGATAACATCTATTTTTTTCCCTGACCCTGGCTCATTCCTCCACTAATAGCTCACAATCGGATGGTATTGGTCAGCAGAATTATTTGCACAACATTGCCTTTAATCTGTAATGATACAATCAAAAGTTACAGTGTTATGGCAACACAAAAGAAGATACCAGTTGGTAGCTGATCACTTAGAACCTCAACATCTTCTCCTGTAGATAGAAAAAACTATGGTAGCTAGCAGTGCCATGATGAGGACAGCCACCACAGCTGACAGAACTGCAAGAATTCCTGAAAAAAGCCCAAAAAAAAAATATATTTGTGAGTGTTTGAAATAAAGCCACCTTTGTTAAAAAAAACAAACAAAAAAACACAATAGATATTAATGTAACTCTGTTTACTTAAAACGTTATTCACAATTTATGTCTCACCGGAGTGAGAATCAGTCTGTTTCAGTCCACATTCTGCATCCCAGTCTGGGGCAATGACATCGTTGGTAACCTCAGTGAAGCTGATGAGCGGACATGGGTTTACAGGACAGCCGGGCACAGGGGTTGGGTAGGGGTCATGGGCTGAGTCATTTCGGTAAAACAAGGAGATGGAATACATCCTAGTAACAGAGGAGACACAGTAGGTATTTTGTAAAAATGCAACAAATATAGGGGTTGGACAATTAAACTGAGACAATGGCCAAACTGGTGTTTGAGGTTTCACACCTATATATGCGCAGCTTGGTGGCGAATCTGCACCAGTTGCACATTCCATCAGTAAGAGCAAAGTGTGAAAGTTGAATTAGCAGAGCAATAACAGAGCTGTACATAAAGTATTACAATCCATACAGCATAACAGTTAAAAAGAGGACAAATTGTTGGTGTGCATCTCACTGGTGCAACTGTGATCAGCAAGTCTTTCTGGTGTATAAAGAGCTACGGTATCCAGGGTAATGTCAGCATACCACTACAAAGGACGGACCACATCCAACAGGAGTAACTGTGGAAGCAAGAGGAAGCTGTCTGAAAGGGACGTCCGGGTATTAACCCGGATTGTATCCAAGAAACATAAAATCAAATTAATTCATTGCAGAATTAAATGCGCTCCTCTACTCTCCTGTTTCCACCAAAACTGTTCGTCGGGAGCTCCACAGGCTCAAAGTGCATGGTCGGGCTGCTATAGCCAAAACTTTGGTCACTCGTGCCAGTGCTAAACGTTCATTTCAATAGTGCCAGCAGTGCAAATCTTGGGTTGTGGACAATGTGAAGCACACATTGTTCTCTGATGAGTCCACCTTCACTGTCTTTCCCATATCAGTGAGAGTTATGGTGTGGGGATGCCCCAGAATTGCTTACCAACTGGACTGGTGTGTAACCAGTGTGCAGCAAAGACATGGATCAGTGATGGTATGGGCTGCAATATCATGGCATTTCCGAGGCCAAATAATTCTTCTAGATAGACACTACAAAGGGCTACCGAACCATTCTGGTGGACCATGTTCACCCAATGGTTCAAACATTGTACCCCGAAGGTGTTGCCATGTATGACGATGACAATGCACCAATAAACACAGCTTACCTGGTGACAGAGTAGTATGATGAATATGAAATTCAAGTTGAACATCTCCCAGAGTCTGCACGGTCACCAGATCTGAATATTATTGAGCCACTTTGGGATATTTTGCAGGAGCGAGTCAGGAAACGTTTTCCTCCACCAGCATCACGTAAGCAAAGGCTGAGATGGAGTTCTAAAGCGAGCCACACTGTGATACCATGAGCAGCTATGTGGTTTGCAGTGATTGCACAATACCACAAGCTTTGTGTGAAGAGCGAGTAGAAAGTTTCCCAAAATACACTGAAACAGAGACTGATAAAACATAGCAGGTAATATAAAGTGTTTCTGTCCCACGTTCTAAATTGCCCAACGTTGGCACTAAGCTCAAGACAACCCTGTACTGGATAAGTGGTTACAGAGGATTGATGGATAATGTATTAAATAATAAAGCTACACATGCACCCATAACTCCAGTACTGTATTTATGTTTTCTTGCGACGTTACGAACCCATTTTTCTCCTGGTAAAACTCAAAGAGCTGACAGGCAGCGTAAGGCGGCAGGCGGCCGCTGTAGATGTCGAGGGCAGCCTGGAGGGTGATGAGCGTGGAGTCATGCTGAAGGGCAGAAAGGGAACCATCAGCAGGCAAGCTGGCTAACGGCACCAGGCACATTAGCACGTTAGCATTGGGAGACAGGCTCCACCTACCGCAGAATACATAACAAGCTTCAATTCGTTGTCCCTCTTCACAGCGCTCGTGAAGTTCCCAAGGATGGCATTCAACAATACTCCTGAAATTAATGATGCATTATTCTTGTTAAATGTCATTTTAAATGCTTAATTTTACATTTTTGAGTGGTTTCCACGATGAGTGTATTTAGTTGCATTCACCCCTCATTCAAACAAACACCCCTTTTGGCTTCCAGTTATGTAATATTAAAACTGTAAAACTGTTATTGTTGTAAAATTATGAAAATGTTGTAATCTAATTGGTAATTCTGTAATTGTTGCTGAAGCTTAGCCTTCTGTTTGGACAAACACCAAAGTGCTTAATGGGCACTGCAGCTTTGCTATAGAGGACGGTCTGCCTCCCAGGATTGTCTTATCTGTGTTCTGAGAAGGACATTAGGAGAAAAAGTGAAGGGCCAGTCTGACAAGTTAAGGAACCAGGAATCAGGACCTGGAGGAGCAGGGAACAAGCAAGGGAACCAGGATTCGACATCAAGGACATGCAGCCGTGGTTAGTAAGACAAGCAAGTCAGAATCATACTTCTACATGGCAGAAAGGGAACAGGCAAGGATCAGGAGCCAAAGACAGCAAGACTTTAGGGCTTAGAAGGGAATTAAGTGTGAGCATTGTTGCATTGTTACTGCTTCCCATGGACATGCAGTCGCAATGAAGTCTGCAGGGCCAGGCTTCCCTGTAACGAGGCAGCGACGACTGCATCTCCAGAAACATCGTGACACTCAAACCCTGTGCCCTGGGTTATGGCAACTTTTGTCTGGGCAATCAATTGAATAATATGAAACATAACGATAACCTTTGCAGTACTCTTCCATTTTAACCATATACAAACATAATCTTTTTATGTGTTGCCGACTGTATCTTGCTGTATGTATGTCAGGCTTCATAAAACGTATTACTTCTGAAAAGAGTGATAAAAATTGTCTAATGCCTCAAATCAGAATTTTCCAATCAGAAAATAAAACAAGAATGAAATTTGCTTTAGACACTTTCATCTCCCGAATGTAAAACTTATATTCTAATGAGCACTTTAACATTTTAATTAAATTAAGAAAAGCAACCATCTCCCAGTAAGCTTGTACCTTTGACCTTTCAAAGTCCTGAGACTGTAAATTAGAAGTCAAACAGAAATAACATGTTAGAATGATATACATATGAAATTTGAGTTTAGCAGAATCTTTCATGATGAGACATTGCTGCCTTGAAACTGTGATTTCATATGAGGAAAGGGAGCCAAATATTTAGTTAATATACAGAAAGTGAACAAAAATGTTCATTTTTCTTAGATGTGAATATTAGGTTGCTTAAGTCCATTTAATTGTTGCATAACCCTTAAGAACATTGCGTTAAAACACTCAGCTCCCCCTGTAATTCCTGTGAACTCCTGTGTACACTGTTTTATATTCCAAATAAACCCTTAATTACATAACATTGATTGAACTGTTGATTACATGAGCCACATGGTTTAAATTCCATTAATTTTCTAAAGATGTCTTGTAAGGTCATGATCATTTTAAACCAAATGTGTTTCTCAGGAAAAACGAAACACATGTGGTGAAAAATAAAATATAATAATCATTTTAAAACTGTAATTTGTAGTTTTTATGAATTTATCATACTTACTGATTAAATAAACAATAAACCCTGAAATCAACAATTTGTTTAAAAATCTATATTCGTAGAAGAAGCTTGAAAATACTTTTTAAAAAAACTTAATTTTGAATAACAGTAGTACACTTATTCGTAATCTAACATGAGATGCTGTTCAGCCTCATTTTTACCTGCTTAAAGACGCACCTGATTCCAAGATGCTTTTCCCTTGATTCACACACAAGAGGTGTCTGTGTATCTCTTACCTTACACCAATCTTCGCCTACTTGTGCCAGAGGACAAACAGCATACTTTATATATGCTTGATTGCCAAGAAAAAATGGTGTGATTTAGCAACCTTCATGTGAAGGCTTTGGTTTCAGTCTGAAAAGGTGCCGGGTCACATTTAAAACTTGTTCATACATTTTCGAGAGCAGGCTCCGATTCACGCAAAAGTAGCAGCAAACAGAAGACTCCCCTGCGCTTGGATTTGCAAATTGAATTTGCTACAAAAGTGTAAGCCGAAAGTGTATGCCTTTGCTTAATGGTTGCTACTATGCAAATAAGATACAAGCTATAATGCTAAAATATAAGGCTTTTTAAATTTTCCCATTCGTTTAATTGTGGAACCTCGGTTCCACAACATCACCAAGACTCGATCTACCCCGTTGGAGCCCAAGCTTATTAAATCCCTTAACATTACACGAGCGTATCATTCCAACTGTGTTCAGCGAACACTTTCAGTCATAGTCACCATGTGCCATACTCCTTAAAAACAGAGTCTTACTCCTCAGAAAGAACTTGCAACTGCAATGCACCTTAGCTATCAGAAGTTTAATGCATTTTGGTTTATTTTCATTCATTTTGTTTGAGTAACATGGTCATGGCTGAATCTTTGGGGATCATCACTTTATAATTCAGAATCAACCAATCCACCAACAAGTACAAGGCCTTTGGCTACATTGCTGATGTATTACCTATTTTTGGCTGTATTTTCTATTTACAAACATGGTAGAGCACAGAGGATTTGCGCTGATAAGAGTGCAATTAGAAAGTATAAAACACTAAGTAGAGTCAGTCAGCAGCTGTGTCAGAACAAAATCAAAATCTGCAGCAATAACAGAAAGATGGAAAGAAAGGAGTCGTCCGCTGTGACTGGCAACTCACCCCCAGCCAGTCTGGCCTTGTCTTTCCGCTTGTAGGTGAACACACTGTACATGACCTCAAAAGAAGCGATTTCCTCCAAGGTATTAAACACGTGCTGGGTTGCCCAGCCGGGCAGGGTGAGGTTATGAATTCTCTATGTAATAAATAAATAAAAATACATTAATTCATTGCAATTGGGATATTGGAGTAACACTTTAAGTAGCAATGTTGCTGAGGTACATTAACTTATTTCAGTTTTTTCAATCATAATTAAAGCATCTGATTGCTAATGCATTATAAGTCATTACAGCTTTTTTTTGTTATTTAATTTGTTAGGTCGATGTGCAGTTAATTTAATAAGCATTATGTATTAGTCAATGAAATCAGTTATCAATTAAATTTTAAATGATTGCATTCTAAATTAGAATTTAATTTAACAATTTGTATGCCTCTCCCATTTAAAAGTAATTACCTGACAGTTCAGTGTGTCATACACCCTCCAGATTTTCCGCATAACCAGCCTGTCTACCGGGTAACCAGTGTGATTTGAAATTTCCTGGATGAAGTCCTGTTAGAGAATGCATTTATGCAAAAGAGAGGAAAGAATCAGAAGAGCCTTTAGAAAATACCACCCATTACACTGAAATTATACAGGGAAGATAATACCGATGTTAGCTGAACTATACAGTATAAATAGCTACTTAATATTCAGATACTTCGGCGAGTCTTTCACACAATGCATGTTAAACGGGTTTCAGCTTCACACTTTCCAATTGTACAAGTTTGTACACATATCACTCGGAAGCAATTCAAATTAACTAAGCTGGTTTAGCTCTAAGTTAATTGCTGAACAGAAAGGTTACACTGCAGGACGCTGGGCATTTTTAACTCTTTCCAAACTTAGTCTAACTTATTACAGTATAAGAACATAGGGAACGGACAATCATGAGCAACACAGCACAGTGAAGATGTGACACGGAGGTATTAAAACTGCAATTTTTCAGATCTGCCACAAGAGGGCAATGACTTTCACAGAATCTATCTGATTGAGGTACTGTACAGGGCTCTCAAGAATCCATTTACTTGTTTAATGAGACTCATGATAGTCTGTTTAATTAAAGTTTTTCACATTAATTTTTTCCCTGTAATTTAATCTCTTGTTTAATTTTAAATATAAAAGAAGGTAAGAATTTAAAATTAATTTTGGCAAAAGAAAATATCAATAATAGCAGCGGAAAATTTGGGACAGAATGACAGAAACAAACCGGTAAGGAAACAGAATAACAAAGTCTGACACAGACATAAAGGAAAGGAAAGGGACATTAGGTCAAGTGACAGACTCAAAGGAACAAGAATAACATTTGAAGGTTTCTTTGCCGACCTTATAAGTCTTCAGTGCTCTCTGATACTCTGCACTGGAAAATGTTTCTGTCATCAGCTCTCTGAATCTGGGACAATGTTTGGCAGGTGTTTTTAACAGCTGAGAGAAAAGCAGACTGTATGTTAATGTCTTATGAATTAATTGTTCTTGAAATGATTGCTAAAAGGCTTCAGTAGAGCGACAGGATAATTAAGATTTTTTATAAATATTACAGTTCCTGTCCAGGTTCTGTCAAATGGCTAAATATAGTTTACTTGAACACAATTGTAAAACATGGTTTAAGTTAACTTGACACAATGAAAGTCTGCCAGTTGTAATAAAAGAGTATTCACCCATCTTTACCAATTTTCAACTTCCAAATGAATATTTGCACTCATTAAAAATTAATAGTGCACCAGCATTTATACCCTATCACGGAGGGTTTCAAAGAATGGACGACATCCTTAAAATAATCTAACAATCCAAACAATTTTTATATAGACCTACAGGCAGTGCCGAGTTTAAGAACGAGTTTAAGGCAACACATACTTACAGAAAGAACAGACTGCCATAAAGCCCATTACATTAAAAATCCAAGTTAGACACAATGGTTGGTAATAATGAATGCACGCACTACTTTGTGACGCTCGTGAACACATTGTGCAGCTTCAGCGGTTTGTCAGCTCCAGGCACAGTACAGTACTGTATGTAGTCACTTTTATTATTACCCTATAATTATTATTATTATGCTGTATTATTCTTTTTCCGACTTACCTACAAATTCAACTTAAAGACCGACTTAGGGAACGGATCTCGTTCATAACCTGGGGACTGTCTGCATTAGTATGTTTACCCAGGCCACAAATTTATACCACAGATTTAGCAAATGTGTTTTGTAGGAGAAGATTCCATGAAAATGCCTATTACTTCGTGCAGCACTGTTTGTTGGAGCCTTATGAGGAGGGTGAGGCTGGAATGGTGAACACATGCTGACTTTCTGTGCCTGTGTGAAAACTGCAGTGAATGTGATGAGCACTCAAGGTAATGGTACTACTGAAGGATAAACTGGAAAGATGTGATTAAATGTTGCTAATTTGTAAGGGTTGTGGGAATGCATAGGCCTTAAAGATAAAACACAAATTCTAGGTTTGCATGTAAATATTGCTCATTAAAATAACTAAATATTCCCACGGTGACAAAAAAGAGGAGGATTTCTTACATTCCAGCATGTAGGACCAGACATCACACACTCAGCATTCTTATAAAAACGACCCAAAGTTCCCTACAGACACCAACACAACCAGTTTTGCCAGGAATTACATAATTATCAGCCTGCCATGGCTGGCTGGACAGTCCGAGAAGATGCTATAATTCCACTTAGAGTCCCGGTGCCCCTCACCTTGTCCTGGGACTTGGGAGTGGTGTGCACAGGAATGGGGCGCCAAGGCAGTTGGGGGCTAATGGGGGGGGGGTGCCGATTTGGGGGGAAGAGCCCGGCCAGGTTAGCTTGGGCGCTCATCAAAGTACGGTCATAGTCGGTGCTTTGTACATAGACCTAAGAGGAGGAGGATTAGTGTCATCTGCCGGCCGGCTCAGGACAGAACCAGACCTCCTGCTAGATCACTTGCAACCTACTGTACCAACATCAATGGGAATTCTGACAAACATCTCGCCAGCATGCAGACTGCTCATCAAATTTAATTTTTCTATTCTTACAATCAAAATTATAAGTGGAGCAGGAAAAGAGTGAAGGATAAGTGGAGGACAGAGAATGTTTAGACAGTACAGTAAAAAAAAAAACACGGGAAGGGAGGAGGGAGACAAGGAGTGAGGAGGAGAAACCATAGAAAGAGACAAATACGGAGTTAAAGAGACAGAGACAGAGTGTCAGCAACAGTGGGATGGAGAGAATTATAATTACAGTGGTAATTACATGTTGCTTCGCAGAAAGAGAACAGAGAGGTCAGAAACAGTGTGCAGAATCTGATCTGTGTAATTATAGTATAGACACCTTGTGGGACACAGTGAGGAGGGCCAAAGTGTCATCATACATGACATGTAATTCTGGCCACAGACACCGTCACTCACAAGAACATCTGTCAGGGGTGCGCACACTCACCTCTCGGGCGTCATAGTCGTCGCCAAGGAAGCCGGCGTAGCGCTTCCTTAAAAACCGCCCTAGTTCATACTGCTGCCTCATGCCTAACTGTAAATAGAAATGCATCATGTCATTGTATAGCGTCATGGGCAATAACAGGCCTTAACAAAAAATGACACAGAACAGACTTTTTTTTAAGGTGGGCTGGTGATTCAAATGATTATGTGACCAACCTAATTTGTCTGGAACCTCTTAGGAAAACTAGTTTTTCCATTTTGTAAAGTTTGCAGATAAATATAGCTCTGCATTTTCGGAAAGAAGTTCTATTTCTTTATTTTCTATTTTAAAAGCCATTTAAAATATAGGGTAAAGCATGATTCCATTATTGCTTTCTCATTTTAGGGGAGGTATAAAAAGCCTCCGGGCTGCTTTACAAATTCACAACAGTTACTCAATGTAAATGTGTGATTATTTGCAAGCTCCCCCCGCCTTCCTTTCTGTTTTTAATGCACTCAGTGAAAAGTCTATTATTTTTCTGAGTACTATAATACAATGCATTTTGTTGAGCAAACAAATGCATGACAGCATACCATTATAGGAATGTGCGTTCTACAGAGAGTGAATGTACAGTTTTTGAGATTAAACGATGCTCAGATTTTACATTGATTACTTCCCGCATAGAGCTTCAGTCAGAGTCAGTGACCCAGGCTGTACCTCTGTCAGCTGCCCGAATCCTTGTGCCCATATTTCCTCTTTGTGAGGATCGCTGGGAAATGACTCAATAGGAGAGCGATCCCCGTGGCGAAACACCTGGAAAAAGGCGCACATTAATACTGACTCACAGTGTGTCAGGAACCAGTGTGCCAACAGAGACTGTTTGCAGACTTACAACTGCCACAAACTTTAAGACACGAGATTCCGAGGAGGCCCAGGAGAGGACGAAGATGCATCCCAGACACCAGAGACAGCTCCACATTCCTGTCTGCTTTCTGTCTCTATCGACAGGGTATAGGAAATGATTACAATAAGTGATCAATGTCCTTCCTTTGTAACCAAATGAATGCGTTGAGGTGACCATTGTCTTGAAAATTACCCCATTATTCAATGTCACCTACTGTACAATAATTAGTTATTTTTTAGTTCTCATTCAGGTGATATGCAAGTCTACCATTGAACTTTAATGTACTTAAAAATACATATATGACTTGAATTATCATCTACCTTTGTTTTTCGACCCAAATTATTTTTGCTGATCTGAATAAATTCTAAAATCTAACATTTGTACTCAGTTTGGTTAAATAAATAAATAGAAAAACAGAAAAAATAAATTCAATAGCCTTCCTGCTTTATTAACTTTTCTACTAAATTGATGAGTCCTTCTACTGTATCTCCCTTATCCCATCCCTTTAAGCGCATTTACCTTTAAACACTTTGTGTACCACAAATGCACCTCTGCAGTCTCTTTTTCTGTGACACAGTGCTAAATCCTGTACTGCAGATACTGCCTTATATCACATTTACCTGAAGATCCCGCCTTTCATCACCTGCGTATCACAAACGCTTATTACCTTTTCTGGCAATTATAGTGCTTTTTAAGAACAGTTAGAGTGCTGTTTGTAGCAAGGGACTTTGAGAGAACCTGTGTAATGAATATTCGACATCTGAAGGAAAAAGAAAAACATGAAACAAGTATGAATTACATTACTGTGTTTGGATGACATCAGATTTAAAATAAGCTTCAAATTGTGCTTGACCTTAGCTTGTTTGTGTCTGTCACATAACTAACCCTGTCTGGATTCTGGGTGTGTGAGGATTGGGCATTTTCAGATAACAATCTTTTATATCTCTGTGTTACAAAAAAGTTTGCTAGCCCTAACTATTTGGCCATGGAAATAATTTGCCCTCTAACCTGAGGCTAGACATTAGCATGCTATTCTTTCTACTTAACAGGGTAAAAAATCCTCTGTGAAATGATCTGAATTTCTTTAATACAAAAATATAGTTAGTTGCTCGCCGATATTCCCACTTTTACAGATAAACCATTGTGAGCCCGTTTGGAAAAGGTGTAAATGGTTACTTATAACATGATTTTCTGTTCTATAGATTCAAGATCCTTATTAATTCAGAATGAGAATATGCAGGTTCAGCTATCAGTGTCCTGAAGTTGTAGGTAAGCTAAAATAAAGCATCTTACATTATAAATAGGCCTAACAGTTAAGTAAGTTGATCACAAAGCACCTGTGAAAAACAAAGGTACTTTTCACACTGCAGACAGTGAAATTTTTACCTTATTTAACAAGGCCCTTTACCACATTAATTGTTAATTTGACAATTTCTGTGTTTTTTTATTTCGCTTTACTGCCAGCTTACAAAACCTTTTTTCCTTTTATTTTTTTCTTCCCACAGTTGCTGTGATTCTTATGCATACATAGTGCAATTTTTGTCGAAGGATTACCAACTGCAGTTGTATTTCAATACCGTTACTGGCAATAGAGGAACAACCGTGATACAACAGCAGAAAGCACAGTCACATCTCTGGCACTAACATCGACAAATGAACAGGTGTAGGTATCACTATATTTTCCAAATGTTTCATTCTAGAAGGGGGAACTCCTATCAATTGGCGAGCACGTGGACAGAGCCGCAGACAGTCCGTAGTCTTACACCAACACTGCAATGAGAAAAAACAAGGGGGGGAGAGAGGATGAATGCAGCAGTTTAGAGAAAACGTTTGGCTCAGTTCAAACAGTTGCCATGGTTTCAAGATGGTTTCCATGGAAACACAAGCAACCAATGAAATATATTTGAACATAATTTTTACATGGAGGAACAGGGTAGAGAGTACTTGTGGAAACACAGAGTAATTGAACATAACAGCACACATCCACTGCGCTACTTTTGGGTGTAGGTGATAAGGGGATTGAGTGAAAATATTGGGCAAAGGAAGGAGAGAGGCAAGAAGAGTGAGGGCTATTTTAAGCTGCAGGTTGTCATGGTGACTGCAGTCTGTCTACAGATTGGAAATTCTGAAAACACATTGATAGACTAATAAACCAATTACTAGAATTCATACATATATAACTATTCTGACTGGCAAATGATACCTATTCTCATCTTGGTGTGATTGATAACATTTTTTGTCTGCATATTCAATATATAAATACTTTCCTTCAATGCAGTGTCACAGCTGAAATGTCATAGTGCTTTTTTGAGTCAGTAAGTCGGCCTATGTATTTTAATTATCACCATTAGTTGCCTCCTTCTCTCGCTTTCTGAAGGACAGAGGTATTCCCACATTTCTCAGTCGCCATGGCAATGCTTCAGTAAGAAGCAGGGCACAAGCAAAAGGGGGTGGGGGAGGAAGCAAAGGGATCTGTGAACAATGCTAATGTCACTCACCAAACATCATCAATTGTTTATTTAGGCTGTTGCTGGACTATTTATCTCACTGCTGTTTGATCTTTCTGTGGCAGACCTTTATTCTTGAACTTACATTTTTAGCGAGGTTACATTTGAGTTTGCACAGCTAATTAGATTTTCTATTTTCAGTTTTTTTTAGTAGAGCAATGAAACATTTTGCAATGTTTAAACATCTTTTTTCATAGCTCACATCACCACCTAGTGGATGACAGCAGTTAACTTGTAATTTAGTTTCAATCATGCAGCGCTGTGACACATTTTGATATCGCCTTGACTACCTGCATTTGTGTTTTCCATGTGAAGTAATGAATTCATGTATTGCAGATGTAGCCTTTATTAATTGGGCCCCACCCAATGAAATTGTGTCTATCTCACATGGTATATTCATCTAGTTATACAGCTTGGAATGTCGACTTTGGAATAATGTGGTACATCAAACTCAGAACGTGAGATATTGTAGTCTGAGCTGATTTATGTTGAACTGGATTTACAGTCAAAATGGGCACAGGTTCATTTACCAGGAAATGCCTAGTTATCTTTCAAAAGTTCTTGGGCAAGGGCTTGACCTGAATTGCCTTAGTAAAAAATTCATTTGAATTAATGGCTACTAATTGTTATAAATGAAGGGACTTTGCAATCATGCAGCACCCTCTGATAAAATCGTGTAATAAGGAACTAAAAAATCTAGCTTTCTACAAACACCAAAGGCACATTCCAGAGTGTGTTTTCCAAAAATTATATTTTGTGAGCATTTTTACAAAATCATCATTTATGAAGACACAATGATGAAGGATACCCATTTTTTTCTGATTACTTTGAAACCCACACTGATCACATCAACAACAGCAAAAGACAGAAGACATCAAACGTTCTCGATTGCGATACTTTACTCATTGCGGTAACACGTTGGTTAAAAGTGTGGACAACTGTCATCTTTTCAAGCAAACATATTAATATATTGGCCAATGCCGTGTGTTTAGGAATATGCAGGTCATCACAATCTGCCATTTTCTCAGCTTTGAGATCAATAGCTCATCTCATAATGTCACTTTGCTTTTTCCTCCTAAGGAAAACAAATGCCTTTCTTCCGAACAGAAAGAAATATGAGGACAAAGGTGAGAAAGGAGGTGTAAATGGAGTGTAAGAACAGAGGAGAAGGTAGGAGAGAGTGAGTGGAGTCTAAGAGCATTATTACGAGGTGATTGATTAACCCCCAGGTCAACGGTTATTCTTAATGACTGAATCACAGCCGAGCAGGAAGGCATGAATGGTGACATCACTGCACATCAACATTAAATGATACTGAAAGATGGATCGGATTGGGGACTGAACTAGAGTCACTGATTAGTGACAACCACATAATTACAGTGTAACTACAGTGGAACATGATATAGTACTGTACAGTGAAATAGGATGACAGATCTCTTACTGTCCTCTTTTTATTCCAGATCTGTCTTGCCATTCGTGTCTAGGAATTATTAGATAGATAGATAGATAGATAGATAGATAGATAGATAGATAGATAGATAGACTTTTTTCATTGCACAGTACTGCACATATTAGTTGAATAGCATAAATTGTCAGTTTTAATTCACTGTGTGGTTCTGAAATGCATATACAAATACAATTTCAAGCATACACAGTCAGAGGAAACAGAAGAAAGAGAAACTGACACTTTTGCAACTGGGGGATAACCCACACACACTCGCATGGTGAAATTTCGACCACAGGCAAAACATTCACCCTATGGAGCAAAACAATGAAATCTATGTTGACTGTGTATACGCATTCTATATGACTAATGGTCAGCATCATTTCTCTTCTCTCAAAGTCTTCATGTTAACAATTTCTGGGCTGTCACGGTGCTCTGAGAAAAGCCTGGCACAAGATTAATTAAATGGATTCATTCTCCCACCACCACCGTTTCTGGCTGCATATTATACTGTAGGTGCAGAATTATTAGGCTGATTGGGTTATTTAAGACCCAGAAGGCTGGTTTTGGGATTAGTGCTTCTTCCAGTAGACATATGCTTACACCGTTTTTATATTTAGGAAAACACAGGACTGTTATGTAGAAACAGACACCTTTTTGAATGTTTTTATTATCCCAGACAGCTCATTATCAGAACAAATTTGGTTATCAAAAAATTGGCACATGTCCTTCGGCTTCTGATTTATACAAATATATATGTATAAGCATATACATATATACGCATATTAACATTAACATTCATTTGAAACCCAGTTACAGTAACAGCAGTTTTTTAAATCATTGCAAACAAATACCTTAAAGCAGCAGATGGAGGTAATGATCCGGGGAGCGTCATGCAATTAGGTGGATGCTAACGACCAAGAAGAACAGCACATGGAACTCTGAAGGGCAACAACACGTTTGTTCCACCATTATATGTCTTCAAACTTAAGCTGGGGGAAAACACATAGATTATATACCTAATACTGGAATATATTTTAGAAAGAAGGCAATTTAAATGAGCTGAATAGATACAGAAACAATATAATCATATATGTGTAGAGAAATGTAAATGCATCTTATACTGGCTAAAACTCAACAAAAGTACTATATAACAATATACTTACATTTCTCTCTAAATAGATGATTTATACATATACTTTCTATATATATTGGGCTACTTTAATATACAAATATAGTCTTTATTCTAAAAATATAAATCAAAATGTTTCTCTTCAGTATGAAATGAAAAAAAGAATTATTTTATCTCAGTTCTACCCTCTTCTTCCCCTCTGCGAATCAGTTACTTATTAATTAATTCCATTCAAATAATATACATTTTTAGCATATGTACATTACCAAATACAGAGGAGGGGCAAAAAAATGAATGAAGATTAGGAGCCAAAATTTGCTATTAGCAATTAATTTTAAAATGCCCGGAAACAAATGCAAGTAAATTCCACAGGCAGTGCTGTGCCTGGTCACAGAACTGTTATATACACGGGGGGCTGATTAAGCTTCCCGGATCCTTTCTTCATCTAAAGTTCTACTATCTAACGTTTGCAGACTGTGAGATACTCTGTGCTGGGGCCATTCTCGTCTTGGCAGACCCACAAAGCAGGCGTCAAATAGAGCATGCACCCTGTTAGAGTCTGAACAGACAGCGCCATTGTGCACTCTGTTAACTAGGTGAACAGGGTGCTAATGGCAAGAAGAGTGTGACAGTAAGTGAAGAGCGATACATGAAAGAGGCTGAGGAGTCTCAAGGAATGGAGCACTTAAGGGACAGAGTGTATCATATATCAATGGTCACCCCACATATTATACAATGTAGCAAATGTAAAATTGCTGAAACATATCATTATATTTAAAGATAAAACATGGGCTAATGTGTCTTATTACTGTTTCGCCATGTTGGCAGTGTATTTTCTTTTAACTAATGAAGTTATAATGCAGTTCGGCCCTCACCTTTAGATTTTACTGCATTTGTTCACTTTCCAGTTACCTCATACAGGTAATTACTGTAATGGTAGATCCATTTTCTTCAGATTTAGCAATTCTGTGCTTTCATTTCAGCAAAGAGGGTTTTTTTTAAAGATATGTTCAATGTTGAAACAAGAACTGCCTTTTATGTTTTCCATAATTGTTCATTGTTAAGGATTGTGTTTGGCTGAATATTCTTAATATAATCCATTATTCCTAATAGTTGATGTCACATGCATGGAAAACCAGTTTGGAGGATTTCTGCAACAGTGTAATGATGATACCAAGAACTCAACATTTTTACAGATATTTGAATATTTTTAGAATATGGAAAAACAAAGGAATAATATAACAAGATAGATAATTGCATTGTATATAGTTTTCTCATTGCCGCACAATTTCCCAGACCTGTGAAAGACATAAATGACCACAACCAATGTCCTTAACTCATGTGTTTGTAGTTCTTTATAACATTTGAACTTGGGTTCATTGCATAATGGTAAACAGTGGGGAAAACGTGATTTGTTCATCATTCTAAGAATATATCTTTGGTTAACATGCTATGCATTTACCCACTTCTTCATGTAACTGATCTGCAGATATGTTATTCATTCAGTTATTTACCTGGAGAAGATTACAGAATAATTTACCATTGATAATTTATTATTTGTAAGGATTTTAACAACAAGTTAAGTTAACACAACACTGAGCAAAGGAGGATATGCCTCAAAGCTCATGGATTCAGGAGGAATCAGTAGATCAAGAGAACATCAGTTATGCACTTAAATCACTCTCTACTGATAACCAAATCAGAATTATGCGATTTTATTCTAATTCAAATTTTACTTTAAGTGAGGTACTCTGCCTGGGGTGACTCAGTCAATTTAGAGCAGCACATTTTCCTTTTGTTTTATTGCCTATCTGATCAAAGATATGTGGATTTTTAAAATAACTATAATGCTTAGGAACATGCTACAGCGCATCAGCAGCTATTGGCAAAAGACAAACTGTAACATGCGAGCACCCAGCAGAACGTCCATCTGGCCACACCTACAGTAGTTGGTTGCAGCTCTGCCTTACCTGAATACCAGGCTCACCTGAAGCTCATCAACCTGGTTAATTGGCATGGATTAAAAGGCCTGAGTTTAATACCTTCCAAAGAATCGAGTGTCCTGCCATTCTGAGTGTTTGCTTTGTTTTCCGGTGTTTGACTTTGACTTCCTCTTGCCCTCCTGATCTTCTTGCTGTTCATCTTGTGGTTTGGAACTATTTTGTGACTGTCTGGCTTTGCTTGGACTGCAGATTTGGCAAACGATCAGATTTCATTTGCTTTTTTTTGTAAGATTCCAGAACTAAAGCTGTTGCTCCTGCACTTATATCCCCATATAATCATTACAATATGACACATTTTTTACAAATAAATAATTTACCAAATCTTAAGCAAAAATGCACGTTTGCCACTTTTGTAAACTCTTATTACTCTGGTAATTAAATTAATTTGTAATAGTTGATTCTACCATTAAACAATAAAAGGCAATATAGGAATACCCAAAAGAACATGTTTAAGTTGAGGCACATATATTATACTGAAAAAAATTGCCTAAGAGTACATTCTGAGCTCAAATGGGTGACAGGTCAAACTAAAAATGATTTCTTTAGTTTTATTTTAAAAAGGGCCATAATAAACTGGCACAAAACTAGCATATCATCTACAGAGGCTCCTACTTTTGTCTTGTATCATCTGTGAAAGTCTGATAGATTGCAAAATGCAACTGATAATATTTGTGCAGAAAAATAACAGTTTTTTTTTGAGGATTTTTGTATCCTTCAAAGTCATAATTTAAATAAAACCCATGTGTTTCTTTCTCTTTATTTCTGCATGACTGAACACTATTCCACGGGTGCTTTAATTAATGAGTATGGATATGTTTTTACAGTACAGTACAACTGGCTGGATTTATGTATTAGTACATTTATAAATAATTCAAATTATAGTAGCAACAATAAAAGTTCGTGAGGTTGTTGAGCAAGAAGTTCACTAAATTATCTGATTATTTGATTGTTTTGATTGTTGTCTGTCACTTCCCTCAACTACTCACGAAAAAACAAGCCATTTGCACAGTAACATTAATTATGTATTAAGTATTAGGCTTGTTTAAAACAGACAGAATAAAGCCAACACATATGTTTGACTAAAGACCAAGGTTCCTTTTTCATTTTATGTTGTATATTTGTATTGACATAAATTGATTGGGCTTTTTGGAAGGCGCTAGACTGGATTTTCATCGGTTGACACTGGATTATTCAGTGCTAGATGTTGAAATATTTGGGCAAGATATTTCCATGGAAACAGGGCAATGATGTTGACATTGTGGTGCCACTTAAGGAACAGAGCTGTAACATTAAGAAATGAGACGGTTGGAAGTGGAAGAGAATTATAGCTTGATTGAATGTCATGATCTTTGTAGGATTGTGTTTGGTCATTGGACACACACGCATATCCACACATACACAGTACACAGTGTCAAGCTCAACATTAATTCAGAAAAAGAAAAAAAAAATCTAATTGCCACTTGTTTTAGAGTACGCTCACCATTTTATGTGCCAAGTTTTTAATTTTGACGTGACTTCTGCTAACAGAACATTTTTGTAACAATAACCATAATTATAATAATAACATTAACAATATTACAATTGAGATAACAACACTTGATTTTAAAAAAGGAAAAAATAAAACTGAATAAACACAAAGAAACACTTATTTTATCTATAACTTTCTAGATTTTTCATTTATTTGTCCTTTTTCATTAAAAAACTCAACAAACATCATTTTAATCCAGTCTCTGTCTCTTCTATTAAATGGATTCGCTTACCTTTTAAAATGTGAAAAAGCTGTCCCCCTTTTTCTGTTCACGGCGTCTTTCATACTAACGTGGCATTAAAGTTTTGTCATAATCCACTATAATCCATCAAGTTTATTTTGTTTTAAACAAGCAGGAAAAGTGTCTTGACAGGCTGAGTTCTGTGTCGTACAAAACAGGGGAGGGACGTACAAGGAGGGGGTGTCCGTTTTGATAGCACGCTCCATTTCCTTCCTGTCAATACAAGGACCTTTTCCTCCGTTTGATGATTCTTCTTGCTTTCATTGTAGCTTCTGTCAATCTTGTTTTTTTTTTCACTTTTCTGTTGTTGACATATATGACACATCAGATGTTATGCCATTTCTGCTGTGTTTTGTCTTAATATTCATTTAAACACACATTTCCACCTTATTCAACTACAAAAGTTAGTTTAGGGCATTTTATATAATAATAATAATAATAATTATAATAATAATAGTAATAATAATAATAATAATAATAATAATAATAATAATGCAGACTGTTTTCAATCTGCATGTGTAATGTGTGGATCAGTGATGTCGGTGATGGTATATAAGAGTTCCAGCTACTAAACGAAGTTCACAAAAGGCTTTCGGGGGGAAATAGGCCTGTGTACGTATATGCAGTGTTGATGCACTGTTCTTTGTAATTTGTTGCAGACAGAAGCAAAATACTAAAGAATCAATAGAGAATTAATATGAAAACAGGTTTTCACAAAATGAAGTATATCTCCTGAATTTCATAATGGTTAGCTAATTAGTGGATATATTAATCAAACAAAGTTTTAATGGAATAGGTGGTGAGAGAGGTAGCCCTTATAACCGGCTCAAGTAGAGGCTCAAAGTGTCTGTCAGATGGAAAATAATGCACAGAACTGCTGTGGATATTATTATTCATAACCAAAGCTAAACATATTAATATACAATCATAATTGCAACATAGACAATACATAAGCATATTGCACAATATAAGTACATGAAGCAAAAAATAATAATATTTGCATCATTGTTTGAAATAAAATGCAAATGTGAACCTAACATCAGACTTTTATGATCTGAGAAAATGTACAGACCAATCATTTAAGGTACAAATATAATTTTTTGCTTTTAAAAATATATAATGTTAGTTGGATGGTTAACACAGAATGTTTTATTAAAAAAATAAAACAAAACCCATGGACCATCTAATGGATACTGGTGACATGAAAGCAACTGTGTAGTTACTGTCAAGCTATTGATGCATAGGATGATTTAAATATACTCACTGCACTTCATGTAAGTTTATCTGCGATTCTCACAGAATTACTGCAAGTGTAATTATTTAAATCAATTGTAAAATATGAGCTCCAGCAGGTCCACAATGGATAGCTTGTAATGACATGCACATACAAGCTCAAGGGAGTGGCAAGTCAAACATATTAGTATGTCACAAAGACAATAATAAAAAGCATTGCCGATGATGATGACAATTATTATTATTATTATTATTATTATTATTACAAATGCACAAATTGTATATAGGTAGATGGCTACTTTAAAACTTGTAGAATTCAGAGGAGAACAACTAAGCAGCATGTTCACACTGCCAACTCCAATGCAATGGCCCCAAATATAAATACTGTTGGCTGTTATGTTAGGGAACTGGGTAATGACTGACCACTGTTAACAAATGCCCTGTATTAAAGTCAACATAACTTGAATATTTTTTCTTTTTCCTGTATATGATTCCTTTGCCCCCCATGGTCCAGTCAACTTCCCCATCTCTCATCTGTTGTCCCAACAACAACAATAAAGAGAAATTTGTCAAGATTCTGTTTCTGTCCATCATGACCATAATAATATTAACTAAACATAGTGTATCTAACATCATTCAGTGATTGCACTGTATTATCAAATTCTTCCTACAAATAAAATATATTATACATCTTATGTATTTTCATAAGATCCTCTACTGTTTCGCTTATTTTTTCCATCTGTCCTTCATGAAAAAAAAAGGGAGATGTTACACTTGAAGCAAATCTTCCCTCGAAAAATATGAAAGATATCTATAGTCTCACTGCACAGTTTTTATTTGCACTGTACAATAAGATTTCTAGATTATACAATACCTGCACTGTATAGCAGTGCCAAACCATGGCTCTTAATGATGCTGGCCCGCAGTTTGTATAGCCTTTAAGATGCTGGGATCCTACAACAAATGTAACCCCAAAACCCTACACTGTGTAAATCCCAGGAGAGGGCCTGCTATTATGCACTTGAGAAAAGTAACCTTCAATTGCTTTGTAAATTCTTATTTGCTCCTGCATCAGTTAAGAAAATAAATACTGTATTGGTACTACTGTTGTGTACTCTGCACATCTTAACTGTGGCAAAAACACAGTGGAGTAAACTTAATATCAATATCTATAATCTGTATGTTTGGATATCCATACAAAATTAATGAAAGGAAGGTTTTGCTTTGGCACAGATTTTGCTGTAGCAGTTCCCATTACATACTTCACTTCACTTCCATTGCCATTAATCAAAACAGAAACACTTAATACATTAAGTGTATCTGTGATAATTCTTGGCTTGGTACAGTTTAATGTGTATGGAACTGTCCACTTAATGTCTGCATCCTTTGTTCACTCCCCTTTGTAGTTTTTTTTCCCTTGACAACTGTCTTATTCTTAGTATCATGTAATTAAATGTAATTGACAATGTTGTCTAATCATTTGTGTGTGCTTTCTGTTTTTCAGAATGCAACCTAGGGTTTAAAACAAACACGGCCCTTAAAATCCTTTCTCTCTTTCTGCACATACTACTCATATTTGAGTCTCTTGTACATTTTCCTTGGAGCTATTCTTAAACAGAAGTGGTTCAATTTGCGGGTTTTGGCTCTGACCCATTAAACCCTTTAGAGATGCATGTAAACTCAAAGGTGGAAGGGAGAGGGGCAGAGGGAGGGGGGATGATATGGTGTTGGAATTAGGGTTAATGTTGCTCCCAGATGTGGTCTGCAAATTAGCTGAGGAGATCGGGACTTGTGTACAGGAAATTGGGGTCTGAGAAGGCAAAGAAAGAGACGGAGGATTGTTATTATTGTTGAGAATTCCCACAGGCCCAGAAACTCCGCCACCAGTCCCTGTCCCAATTCCCATTCCCATGACATTATTGTTAAAATGATGTGCCTTGTAGTAATGGTTAAGATGCTCTGCTCTCACTAAATTGGGAAGGTTGACAATTTCTGGATGGTGCAATCTTAAACTCTGCCCTCCTCCACTGCTTCCACCACCTCCATGTACAGTAGAGCCCCCGGAAATCCCACTGCCAGCACCAACTCCGTTTCCTCCTCCGGTTGCAATTTCATCCTCGACATTGATAATCTCAATGGCCCGTGCAGGCCCGTGGTGTTTGTGAAGCTGGTGCTGCTTTCTCAGCTTGTAGAAGACGACCAACATGACCGCTGCCATGAACGTAATGGCAACAAAACAGCCGATGATGATTTTTGTGGTCTTCATCACATCATCCAGACCAGATATATGAGTGACATCAGTTATTGGCACTGTAAAAGCCTTTTCGGTTGACACGGTGGCTTGGGATGAGGACCTCGAGGGCGACGAAACAGAAGAGGTGGTGGATAGGGTTGTGGTCATACCCCAAACTTCCCCTGGCATTGTGGGACCAGGAATTCCAACAAAGGTTTCGTTGATGTACTGGCGGGCGGAATGTTCCTCTTGACCGTTCTCCGTCGTTTCCACTGTGACAGTGGTGAAATAACTGTAACTGTTGCTGGCGTCTGAGGCGGACACGTTTAGCACCGCTGTTGCTGTGGTGTTGCCCGCAGAGTTGGTCACCATGCAAGTGTATTGGCCTGTATCTTGGACTGTGACGTTGGTGAAATTCAATGTGCCATCATGCAGCACTGAGATTCGAACCCTGTAAGACCCATGGGTCATGAGGGTGCCGTTGGGGGTAAGCCAGTTGACTGAGGTCATGGATGTACCGGTTCTGCACTTCAACTCCGCTGCCATCCCCTCAGTGACATTCAGGTCTGTCGGGGGCTCAACAATAACAGGGGCGTAGCAGGTGAAGTGGCTTTGGTCTAGCTCCCCAATATACCTGCCCTTTAGCCCTGGTGGAGCATGACAGCGGGCACAACAGGTAGTGTTGCTGGGTACCGTCTCCTTCAGCCACCAGCTCAACCATAGAACGTCACAGTTGCAAACCCAGGGGTTGTGATTAAGATGCACCCGTTCCAGTTGGTGAAGTGGGGTGAAGAGGTCATGGGGAAGAGAGTGAAGAGAATTGTGAGAAAGATTCAACTCTTCGAGGTTTTTGAGGTCGTCAAAGGCATTCCGCTCGATGACCGACACTTGAGAGTGCATGAGCCAAAGCTTGCGCAGTGACACGAGCCCTTGGAAGGAACCTGGCCGGATGATTTCCAGCCGGTTCCCCGAAAGCTCCAGCTCCTCAAGGCGCTCCAATGGTGTGAGGTTAGGTATGTCCTTAAGTCCACACATGCCCAGATTCAGGTAACGCAGGTTGATGAGTCCCTCAAAGGCAGCTTCGGAGATGTAGTCCAACTTTTTCAGTTCCCCTAAGTCCAGCCGCCTCAAGGAGGGCACGCGGTGGAACGCATACGCAGGCAGGGTCTCAATGGGATTATTCCGCAGCCACAGTTCCCTCAGCTTGCTGAGGTACTCAAATGCCTGGGAGGGGACTAGCGTGAGGCGGTTGTCAAACAGCTCAAGAGTGTTGAGGTTAGGGAGGCCATTGAAGGCCCCTACCTCAATTTGACGTATCTGGTTTTTAGAGAGCTGCAGAATCTCCAGATGCCGCAGGTGCTTGAACGTGTCAGACTTTATCACCTGTAAAAACAAACAAAAAGGCAAAGAGTGGATGTTACAACATACTCGTATACCGTATCCATTAACACACTACTTTATCTAAGGCGCACCTTTGTACACTACACTGAAATAGTACTTAAATGAGACGTTTATGTACCATATACATCTCGCTACTGTATTTTGTAGTTCTACCAATGTTATAAATAGCATTAAAATTTTAAGCAAGGATTTCAAAAATTCTAATTCAATTAAAAAAAATTCTACAATGTTTGTTAAATCATAACTACATAAGCAGACAAAAACATTTGTAAGCATATAAAGATCTCTTAAAAAGCTTGGACGACATGCAGCAGAATCTACATAGTATTATTTTGGATTTATGTGTTGGTTCCTACCAATTGAAATTCAAAGCCTTGCTGGCAATCTATGATCAGTTAGGTACCTAGTATGTACTCCTTTTACTCACTGGAATAAGAACAGAAATTCATTATCGTAAGGGAAATCTATGTTAAGGGCATGACCTCCCTTTTATGAATCTATTAATTTTTTATGTCTTTTATTCCATAAGTTCACATTCAGACATGCTACGAATTACTTGGATAGACTCTTTTTACTTTTGTTTCGTTCTCTAGACTGATGTGCGATCAATTTTGACTTGAATGTGTCTTCTACCATATTTTTACCATATGGTCATTATTCAGCTTGACTGGCTTTATAACATTTATTAAATTAAAACATTTTTTTTGCAAACACATGCGAGATTTTGATATAAATATAATTGGGCACTTAGATATTGAGCCAGAAAACTACTTCTTGCATTCATCAATGATCTGTAGATTTGTTTTTAAAGTGGATAGCCAGAAAAGTACTATCTTTCCTTTACATTTGTTGTCAATGTCAGATCAACCTTTAGCTGCGTGGTTTATACTTATAAATTTGTTTCAGCAAGAGTGTAAGCACATTTCTACTATGATGTAGGAATCCTGATGTCAATATCTTAACTCTAAAAAATAGGACAGAGATGACACATAATAAGGCTTCAATAATTCTGAGCAGCATGTCATTGTTACTGCACATTTAGTGGGCATTTAGTCACAATGGTTATAAAAATCTCTGGCACAGGCTTTGTCAAGATGGGAAAAGAAGAAAAAACGACCAATTTCAATATTCACTGGGAGAATATTTAAGAGGCAGTACATTAACCTCTAACAGGACAGCAATAGGGACTGTGCACTTTTATTGCCATGAATCTGTAGCTTGGGATGTCACAGAGGAAGAATGTGGTGCGATCTGACACATCATCTTACCCTGTGCATGCAAAGAGGGATGTGTGCAGGTGTGCCGAGGCTGTTTCATAATGATGTGAAATCCATTTTTCCATATACAGCCACGGCTGGGCTCGTTTCAGCTCAGGGCTGCATGCAGTGTGTTGCAGGCGCATGATAACTGATCATTTGCATATCATTATGCAGCATTTCGCCCCTGATGAGAAATTCTCGGGTAAGGATCCTTGATCCTAAAAGTGCATGTTGTCACTGGGCTGCTTAAGAAGCAAAAACAGAAGGTTGCCCGGTTTCTCTGACTGCTTTGATCGCTGGATGTGAATCCCTTGCAGAATTGCTGGGATGTCTCTTCTGCAGAGCCATTTCACCAGACTTTTCTCGCTCAGTAAATCACCACTGAAGCAATCTCTCATGGAAAAATTACACAACATTCCTCTCTAAAGATTCTGACTCCTATGTTGTCACTATGGCACAATGTATTTTTTCCATCCTGTTTGATCACCATTTCTGTCTTTGAGCTTTACAATGCAACACAAGCTGTTGTATTTGCTGTTGACCTCGAAACTCTACCTGGGCAGTGTGCAGTATATAGCATTTTAATATAAATGAATTTAATCCATGCTTCAATTACATCCACAGCTGTTTAGGAATCTCATAACACCATTACCATTATTTTTTAACTATATTAGATAATGTTTAGCAAGCAACATATAATTTCACCCACGTCGTGCCACACTACCTTCTGGCCAAATGACCCTGATTGGTCATTGATGAATGAGAACTTCACTGTGGCTGACTTGACCTAACACATCAAATAACACCCCAAAGGCATGAATAAGCAAGACTGGGGAATAACAGGCACAGGAGAGTGACATTTATGCAGAGGATACTCACAGGGCATTCTGCTAAATAAGCCAGCTAATCACAATCCCCTTAAGGCTCTCTTACATTATTCGCAGTATGACAATTATTTCTTCTGGATGCAATAAATCTGACCTTAAATATGCATCATTTACATTTATGTGAAGTACATATGCCTGTTCAACAATATGCTTACCAACATCTTTTTCAATATGGAAATTGTGCTATGGAAGATCATCGTCTATAATTTGTTATAATGCACATATAAATGAATACATGCATCATTCTCCACAAAATAAATAAAATTCATCTGTACCTACAGTAAATGTGTATCTATCGACAGTAAACAAATGGAGAGGCATTTTGGTCTTCACTTTATAGGTATACCTAATTTTCTAGAAATACAGTGGACCAAATGAGCCCTTTTATGAAGAGTTGCGCACCCAACCAAACCTCTGCTTTGCCACACTCCGCCTCCAGAGTTTTGCTGCACTTGCGGCTCATGAACTCGTTTACTGGTGGGGTATTTTAGGACCTTGTTTTTACTCAATTCTTTGCAAGGTATTGCATGTCTCCACCATCCTGAGCATTCATTTCTTCTCTACCCTGTTTGTGTGTGTAACTTCCACCCTGATCACCTTGATCTTCTTGTTCTCGGTTTTGCATCTTTTATTTGGTAACTTTCCCTGTTTAGCTCAGAGCAGAACTACAGCCTCCTGCCTGTGTTTGACTATGGATTTTTGGTTAATGATTTGGACTGGGCATTTGGTTTTCCTTCATATTACCTGTTCCACAATATGGTACCTGTGTCTCAGATCACCACTCCAGGACTACGACTTAAACCTTGTGCTTCCGCAACCGAATCCTCCCTTTATTACTCATATATTCTTCAAGTTTGACAGTTGTGATATATGATAAATATTCCAAGACCATGAAACAATACAGTAAACTGGCAGTTCAGAAAGTGTCCTGCAATAATAATAGTGTGTCACATTTTTAGTCCAACCTCCAAATATCTGAATAAAAATAATTATTGACATTAGCAAGATTATTGTTACTCTAAGAGGGGATATTCTCTCAGTTAAAACACCCTCTTTACAGTCATGCGTTGCTTAATGACGGGGATACATTTTAAGAAATGCGTCGTTGGGTGATTTTGTTGTCGTGCAAACTTCATGCAGCATACTTGCACAAACCTAGATGACTAGATGGCAGAGCCTAGTATACACCTAGACTAAAGTAAGAAAATACAAATAAAAAATAAATGATAATAAATATATATATATATATATATATATATATACACACACACACACACACACACACAGTGGTACCTCAGTTCTCGAACTCATTAGAACTCGAATTCCTTAAAAGTCGAACCAACCAGTTAGAAAAAAGTGTACCTAGAACTCAATCTGAATCTCAGAAGTCAAACCGTGAACGCCGACCTCAGATAACTTGTATGCGTGGGGAAATGAGTCACGCGGCACGTCTCTCAGCGGAAACAAAGGGTAAAGCTTCAGCCTCAGCCTCGCATTAGCTGTGATAGCATCCTGCATGTTTACACTAGCTGAATACATATATTTAGACAGTAAAAATACATTTAGACAATGATAGACAGTAACAGTAATTATTATTATATAATAAAATAAATTTAAAAATAAAGATTTCTTATTAATTATTTTAATATTAATAATAAACCATTAATACATTTAATTATAATAATATTGTTGTGCCGAGCGGGGACGGAACGGAGACAAAGGCGCAGACGTCAGGGTATCGGGGAATACGGGGTTTAATTACAGGTAAGGCAGGCAAAACACAGATGGACAATACAATGACCGGACTAGGGAAACAAACTGAAACGCGGACGAAATACAGAGGACTAATGACAACAACCAGAAACAGCTGATCACTTGGGGATTCCACACGGGGTTAACGAGGGGGTGTGGCACACGGAAGGAGCGGATGATCGCGCGGGGCATGACACATTGTTTGGATACATTTATTTTCTTACTTTACAAATTACTGTTTTGATAAATGTGCTTAGATGTCTTTAGTACAGTATATGCTTTTCTTGTTTTGTCCGGTTCATTTTCTGTTTAAATGCTAAAAAAAAAAAACATTTCGGTGTAATTTTTTGGGGCCGGGAACCAATTCATTGGTTTTCCATTATTTCTTATGGGGAAAATTCGATCAGAACTCAAACTTTTTAGGATTTGGTCCGGAGTTCTGAACGGATTAATTTCGAGTTCTGAGGTACCACTGTATATATATAAGCAGATTACAAGCATAAGTGTACACTTTAAAATAACAATAAATAGTGGAGTATAGAAAATATACAAGTAACATGTTTATCATTATCAAGTATCATGCACTTAATGTAATATTTATTTAATATGTGCTATACTTTTACATGACTGACAGCAGTGGGTTTGTTTACACCAGCATCACCACAAACACGTGAGAAAGGCGCTGTGCTACAGTGTCACCAGGCGATAGGAATTTTTTAGCTCCATTATAATCCTACGGGACCACTGTCATATATGTGGTCCATCATTGATTGAAACGACGTTATGCAGAGCATGATTTTTTTTGAGACCTTAGAATTTAAAGTATATACATATATACAGCTGGAGGATATTTACCAGCAAATTTCATCCTCTCAAATTATACCTATAAACTATAAAACCACAGGTGCTGGGGTAACAATCAGAATGTGATGTACACTTTTAATACAGTGTTCAAATGATATTTAAATGAATATATTTATAAATATATTTGTTCCTTTTTTTCAATTACTGAAGTCTTCTTTGGTGGATTATCTCTTCCTTGACTTTGGACTTAGTCGAGTTGTGCATAGAGATTATTTATACTGACGCACTTATAAAATGTACTGAAATTTTAAATTATCTCTTAACATGATCATCACTCTAAGTTGCCATAAATTAGCTTTTTTAAGCTTGATTAAAAATGTAACCACTAATTGCCTCTTTATGATGTCAAAACATTACAGTATCCCAGTACAACATAAACACACAGTATCCACACTATGCCACAGAGTGTTGGACTCACTGGCAACCCACACACGCCTACAGAGGTCCAACACATCTAAAGGCCCCATTGTCCCATTGCCATACCCCTACAAACCTGACCATGCATTCCTATGTTTCAGATTTAGTCTCCTATTGAAATGTGTATCATCAATATGTAATCAGCATCATATTCATTTATGGTCAGCTTTCGATTCCAGCTAACTGGACTTTCAACTGTTGAAAGATTCTTATATTTTCACATGAACTCCCAACAATTAAGCAGAATAGTCATGGACAACCTGCAAATTTAAACCAAAGAGGAAAATTCCAAAATTCACTCAGTCCGGTTTGTAATTACCATTTTCATGGGTTTTGAGGAAAGAACTTTGGACTGCATGAAGACTGAGTGAGTTTTGGTTCCCAGTACTGTAACATATGATAGAGAAGTCTGACTTTAGGTCAACGGTGGTCTATCTCAAAAACAACCAAAAATGGATTGATGCACACAGTTGCAGCAACACAAACATGGCATTTACCTGTATTGAGTTCTCCTGTAGGTTGAGGTATCGCGTGTTGACAGATATACTTTCAGGCACCTCCTCCAAATTCCTCCTTGTACAGATCACTCGGCTGGCCTGATTGGAACAGCTGCAGGGAGCAGGACAGGAAGAGCTGGCTACAGCCAGCTCCGGTCCAGGAGGGAGGAGCTGCAAGAGCAGCTGGACTAGCACAAGAAGGAGGGGGGAGGGGCTGCAAATGTTGGTCACCGTGGCGACACGCATGGCAACTTGGTCATGACCCTCCCCTTTGCTCACTGTGATGACTGGCCAACTCCAGGCGGTAGATATTTCTTTCTCTCCACTCTTTATTAAGTCATAAACTCGCCTCCTTCTTCTGTCCCGGAAACGTTAAAGCAGTTGGTTTTTATGTATTTCCTAATGTTTCCTTTTAAAAAGCTTCATTGTATCTTCGTTTTTTACGTCGCAAAACGTTCCCTTTTTGGTTCCCAATGTCCTTAGATGTCTTCCTTCAGCAAGAAATGTTCATTGCTCCGTTAAAATTACTTGTATGTTACACATTCAAAGAATGCGTATTGATAGCTGCTGTATTTGTTGAATGTCTTCCTTCGTCGGTATTTGGGGAAAGCGTTCCTGAATACGACTTGACACTGTAAAAAGAGGAGACAGGGGCTAGTCTATACACACAAAATACAGACACTACAGCATATTTTTCTGTGACAAGCAAAATCTATTGTTATCTGCTGACTGGCAGACTGGGCACTGCAGAGCATGAACAATGATGGAGATTAACACAAAACTAAGTGAAGAATTTGGTTCCAGATTATTTATAGTGAATTAATCATTGACATGGGCATCAACCATTATTACTACATTATAGCCACTAATAAAATACTGACACGGTGACTGATTGGTCACCTCATGCATTGACAATGATGCTATAAAAAGAACGGACAAGGAACAGAAACAACTCCAGGGACAGTCGAGGCTGGATAACACTCTTAGATTAACAAAGAAATCTGGAGAGTGCCCGATACATTAAGGGAGGCCAAGACAAAAGCCTTCAAATCTTTCACACAGGAGAGCTGCGATAACAGGTAACGGCTGCATTTGGAGGTTTGTGTTATGCTGATAAATCGCAAAGGAAGGCTGCATGTTTAATAAAAATGTCAAGGAAGGTTATGTAGAAGAGAAGGGTGAGAAACAACCGAGTAACATTCAGTAGTTATTAGAAGTTAAACAGCAGCTATATTGATGCAATAGAAAGCAATATGATACAATGTTAAGGAATACAGTGTACTTATATTACTCTCCCTATTAAAATGTGTATGCTTTGCAGCAAGCAGTACAAGTTTCAAGCACAGGTCTATGTCCAGATTTCATCCCAAAAATGAGGACGTACGTCAATCTGGACATATCTCCATCATTACAAGGAAAAGGTCAAAGATACTGAATAACAATAAGATACAACACCACATACATTTAACTAAACCCCTATAGTGGCAGCACAATTGGCTTGTTTTGTTCCTTAGTGTACACCACACACGGTAAAATACGTCCCCTATAGTCCACCATGTCTACTTAGGATATAAATTTTATAAAAGCTCTTATGGAACGTAAGTACAATTGGACGTTACTGGACAGGACGTAGGTACAATTGGATGTTACTGGTCAGGACGTACTGTAAGTACAATTGGACGTTACTGGACAGGACGTAGGTACAATTGGATGTTACTGGTCAGGACGTACTGTAAGTACGATTGGACGTTACTGGACAGGACGTAGGTACGATTGGATGTTACTGGACAGGACATACTGTAAGTACAATTGGACGTTACTGGACAGGACGTAGGTACGATTGGACATTACTGGACAGGACATAAGTCAATGGACGACTGTACTTAGTTTTCCTGTAATGATCAGAAGTCTTAAGAATTCTTGTTCCATGAAGAAGGATCTGACTTTATATTTAGTTTCGTTCACTTCTCAGCACAGAGACAATATGTTTACATGTATCTTATGCATAGTTAATATCTGGTATTAGTTTTGGTTATGTTATTTAGTAGTGGGATTGATATGCCTTACATGATGCCTCAGAGACTGGTAGCATCTATGAAACACTTTAAAATTAGAACTAAACTATTAATTCCTGAATATATACACAAAAGGCCAATTTAACAGATTTTAGTTAATGCTCGATGACATTGTGATCAAAAATGTCTTTTCCCCTGCAAAGCAGCTAAACAGCAGCACAGATAAGAGTGACCGATGCATATGGTGACCTTTACATTAGCACATTACATAAAAGAGGAAGTGAGCAACGCTTAGCCACACGCTAAAAGCTAACAAAATCTCTAGTTGTATCAGGGGCTTATTCTGCCTTTATGTATCTCATTTTCTAATTGCTAGCATCATTTTCACATTATTTCGATTGTAAAAGGTACCCATTTTAGACCATTCTACAAGCCTGACAATAAGCACAGTTAGCATGATATCATTTACATGGCTATGCATCATTGCTGATGCCAGATATTGTTGGATATTGGTGGTTTTCTCTAAACTTAGATGCCTGATTTAAAAAAAGCATATATTCAGCAAACAAGTGTTACCTTTATTCCAAATGGTTCAGAAATGGGCTAAGAGGTTTCGCAATTTAACTCACAAATTAAATTCATGTACAAATATTACCGTGAACAAGACCGAATGTCACCTTAGATCATCCCTATGGGAAAATTGCCTTTCCACCTATCCACTCGTGCTCTTGATTCAATGCACAGACAGGTGAGAGCAAGTCTGGGGTCAGAGCCCAGTGCCTGGCAGTGCCCTTAAGGCAATTGGGGTGATGGGTCTTACTTAAGAGCCCAGCAGTGGTAACACTCTGCTGAGCATGGGATTAAAAGCAGCGACCTTCCAATCACGGCCACAGAGACCCAACCTGCAGAGGCAAACACCACCCAAAGCACTGACCTGGCATGAACCAGGGCCCTTCGGCACACCAGCACTGACCTCCAGCCTCGTGAGTCACCCAGCTCTTTGGCTAATGACAGCTTACCAGGGGCAGGACATCAGCTGTGTTTTAACCCCAACGTCATGTTTATAAAAGCAGTGGCTCCAGGTGTGAAGGGAAACGTGACTGCAAGGCATAGGAGTGTGGTCTAGTTTGGCTGCGATATTTGGCGGATTAATTGTAGCAAAGAAAATGTGCCGTAACACTGTGCAGCATATTGAGAAGTAGCCCAGTAATGTATCAAGACACCAATGTGCCTGTCTTTGAATGCAGGTGGAAACCAGTGCACATATAGAAACTTGCACAAAAATGGAAAGAATAACAAATTCAAACCCACAGGTCCAGATGTGGGAGGTGACAGCGCTACCCACTGAGCCACTGTGCACTAAATAATGCTTATTAAATGGATGTTGTAGTATTACATTACCGTAATGGATATTTCCCAAATCTAGGTGATGTGCTTATTGTTCCAGAACCTCAGCTTTCTCCCCAGCCTGCCGCAGATGCAGAGTTTTCATTCCCCCCATGGGTACAGCCACCTGCTTTGCGTAACGGCGAGACGAACATAAAGCCCTTCCCTTCCTCTTACATATACCTGCACCACTTCTTTTCATTCTGGCTCCTTATGTTTAATTCACAGGGCACCAACTTCAGACCAAAGTGAGAAAGAGGGGACTGAAATTATGAAGGCAATCAACTCCACCACCACATGTGTAATTAAAAAAATGCTACAGGACTCAAACATACTTAATAACCAATCAAACGGCACAACTTTAAATTGCATTAACTTAATGAACATCTGCCTAAAGGGGGAGGGGCGCAATTTGCCTCACATGCGGCAGCTTCCGGCACATGTGTGGCAGTTTGTAAATGGGCACCTGCTTTTTCACAACGTTCACCCTCAAATGGGGCCAAAAAACATTAGTGGAGAAGCAAAAATAGCCAAACAATTCTTAAGAAGATAAAACCCACATAATGAGATCTTGTGGTCTCTATGTGGCATCCTTCCGGCCGGATCACTGATCTTAACACAAAGAAACCCGACATGATGTATGCTGTATTTACAAGTGGTGGTTATTATATACAGTTAAAAAATGATAGTGTTACACAGCCTCAATTTCTCTAAGTGAATACTCAGTGAGACAGCCTGCCTGTTCCATACGGCATTACATAAATAACAAATAGATTGATCTGTCTGGTGACAAATTGCAGATGAACACTGGCTAAATAAATAATGTTCTCGTATATTTCTACCACACTGTGATCTTCATAGTTCCCTCTCACTTTCCCCTATGTAAATCTTTGCTAAGACAGTTACCATGGCTACATTTACGCCAAACTCTCTGCCTCTAACTGCATCCCTCCCACACTGCCACCCTCCTCCCATCCTTCTTAACAAAAATACGGTGCCTTTACCTTTAGTGGACCACGAAGGAATAGTGAACAAAGGTCACACATTCGTACAGACAGGCAGAGTTTGGTCAATCGTAAAACAAAAAATAAGCTAAGGGGCTATTAGCCTTAGTTGGCATCATTGGACGTGTTGATGCCAATGCTAGCTGTGTTGATGCTTTACTCCTCTCACCGGTGAAGTGACGTTGAAAACAACATGCAGGCTGGACAGCGCTTCTTCTGTGGGCTTCTGGGCATTGCGAAATCAGATGAGCAACAAAGGACGTACGCTGCATGGTTTGGGACCTTCCTCGCGGCTTCTCCGGACAAAGCTTAGCATTCACTGTGAGAGTGAGATAATAAGCAAAATGCTCAGCCCCCGAGGCCCCCGTCTTCTTCAGAAAAATCGCTCGATGAACGCACAATGGCAGAGTTTTCACACCGTGAGAACCATGACTAATAGCACTGTAATTTCATCTTGTGTTTCATTTACAGGTAATTTACGGTAATTCGTTATCAAATGCAGCGGAATGATGGCAAAATATTCCGCTCAAATTCAACAAGCTAGACAAGCAGGTAAATCATTTATCATGTTCAGCTGGCATTGTCCATGAATGTGTAGAGAAAACAAAATTCCCTGCTTTCAGGAAAATATTTTTGCTGACTTTCATATTTGTTGTATATCAAAAACATACTATTTATCAAAAATTGCTTCTTGAAAAATAAACTTTCTTTTGTATGACACTGAGCTGTGTTTCTGTAGCAGGAAGAATAGTGATAGTGGTTCTTGTTCCACATCCATCAGCCTTCAGGTTCTACACTTAAAATGCATGGATTCTAACCAGAAATAGTTAGATTTTCAATGCAATGACACTCTAACCAGAGAATATTATACACAGCTTGGTGGAAGAATAGCTGCACAAAAAACTCAACAACAAATAAAGAGGCTTTATGTTCCAGTGGTTGCTGGTGCAGAAGGGTTGATTTTATTTTCAACCCCCAGCCATAATCGGATTTCACGTTTCATTTGCTGTAGAGATTTCACTTTTAGGAGCATATAAAATGCAAGGGCACTATGCATTGTTTTTAGATTTCAGTCAATCAATACAAATAAAACTTGGAATTACTATTAAAAAAAAAAAGATTTTCCTGAGTCTTTCTGATACACATACTGTACCACCCGGTGAAACTTTCAGCACCAAAGAATCAAATGTATAATAGTTAGTTTGACCAGACCGAATGTAATCAAAT